TTATAATAAACTTTGAAAGGGTAATTCCAGATAAAGCTTATGTCCTACGTGCAATATTCGTTAAGATGTTCTGGAAATCTTACTCGTCTTCCAGAACGCGTTGTTTTAGGTTTTTCTATCGACGTTGACGAAGTATCAAGTTGTGTGTCGGTTATCGTGTAGGGTACTACGAGTGTAGTAGCTGTGTCGTTTGATTGTACCGAAGGAAAATCGACGTAGCTAGGGTTTCCTTCTAGGTACGCTGCTTTGAGTCGATCGATACTGATGCTATCTTTCGTACCGTTCTTGTCGACTACATAGTACTTAGGTTCGCGTTGAAGAACTTTGAAGGGTCCTTCGTATGCTGATTCGAGGGGTCGTCGATGTGAGTCTCGACGAACGAAGACGTGTGTACTATGTCGTAGTTCGGGTTGAACGAAAACATCAGTTGATTGAGGTCGAGTGTGAGCAGGTTTAACTGAACGCATAGCGTTTGTAAGCCTACTCGTGTAAGAGTTTAGATCCATGTTCAATGAAGAAGCTGAAGGATCCACGAATTCTCCTGGGAGTCGGAGTGTCGTTCCGTAAACGAGTTGAGATGCCGTGTATCCAATGTCAGCTTTCACTGCATTGCGGATACCTAGCAAGACGAGTGGAAGAGCGTCTGTCCACTGTGAAACGTTTGAAGCTGATAATGAAGCTTTTAATTGTCGATGAAAACGTTCTACCAACCCGTTTGCTTGTGGGTGGTAGGCGGTCGTTCGGAAGCGCGTGATTCCTAAAAGTGTGGTCAGACAACGGAAAAGTCCAGATTCGAACTGGCGTCCGCGGTCTGTAGTGATGGTTGAAGGGCAGCCGAAATTTGCTACCCATCGTTCGACGAAAGTGCGAGCCACTGTTTCAGCAGTAATGTCCTTAATCGGTACTGCTTCTGGCCATCGAGTAAAACGGTCTACGCATGTTAGGAGATATGAGTATCCGTTCGAGTCGGGTAAGGGTCCTACCAAATCTAGATGGACGTGGTCGAAACGAGCGTCAGGGGTTTTGAAAGAACCTAAGGGATATTTGTTGTGTCTGATTACCTTAGATTTCTGACAGCTTACACAGGAGCGTGACCACTCCCTCACGTCTTTATTCATGCCAGGCCAACAAAAGCGTTCGGCTATAAGTTCGATTGTTGCACGAGCACCTGGATGAGAAAGATTGTGCAACGTATTGAAGACGTTGCGGCGATAGTGTTTTGGTACAATTGGACGATCCCTACCTGTAGATGTGTCACAGAGTAAGGTTTCCTTACCTGTTCCCATCTGCCTAATACTTAGTTTAAGAGTTGTCGAGGATAACTCATGCTGAAGATCAATGTCTTCTTTTTGAAGCTGAGCGAGTTTAAGAAGGTCGATTCCTTGGAAACTGTTCAAGGAGCTAATTCGAGACAAGGCGTCTGCGACTACATTGTTTGCTCCAGAAATATGTTGTATGTCTGAAGTAAACTGCGAAATGTAGTCGAGTTGTCGAGACTCTCGCGGTGAGTACTTGTCTGAAGATGAACTTAAAGAGAAGGTAAGAGGTTTGTGATCGGTAAAGAGCGTGAATTCTCTTCCTTCGATGGAATGTTGAAAATGCTGTACAGCACAATACATAGGTAGGAGTTCCCTACCGAACGTGCTGTACCTAGATTCAGCGTCTAGCAACCGTCTCGAGAAAAATCCTAAAGGTTGCCACGAGTTGTTAACCCATTGTTGTAAGACTGCTCCGATTGCTGAGTCGGATGCGTCTACGGCGATACTAATGGGCGCTTGACTGTCCTGATGAGCAAGCAAGGTTGCTTTAGCGATGTGTTCCTTAACTGTGGAAAATGCTTTACGGGCTGTGTCGTCTAAACTAATTGATTTCGCATTTCCACGAAGCTGATCGGTCAACGGTTTCATTAGGGATGCGCATTTAGGTATGAACCGTCTATAGAAACTTACGAGTCCGTTAAAAGTTCGTAACTGCTTGATCGTGGTCGGTTCTGGGTAATCCAGAATGGCCGCCACTTTGCTCCTAAGGAGTCGGATGCCTTGGGCATCAATGGTGTGTCCTAAGAAGTCTAAGCAGTTAGTTCCGATTTGGCATTTCTGAATGTTGACAGTAATGCCATGCCTTTGAAGTCGATCGAAAACAATGTCCAGATGCTTGAGATGTGATTCTCTGTCCGGACTTGCTATTAGACAGTCATCAACATACGCATGTACGAAGTTGAGACCTCGAAAGACGTCGTCTATAAACCTTTGGAAGGTTTGAGCCGCGTTTCTTAAACCAAAAGGCATTCGTAGAAATTCGTAAAGACCGAAGGGAGTGATGATGGCGGTTTTAGGAATGTCGTCAGTTGCCATCGGGATTTGGTTATAAGCTTTAACCAAGTCGATTTTCGAAAAGACAGTTGTACCTTTCAAGGTAGCTGTCAAATCGTGAATATGAGGCAGCGGGTAACGATCGGGAATGGTTTTAGCATTCAGGCGCCGATAATCACCAGTTGGCCGCCAATCATTGCTGTCCTTTTTAGGGACCATGTGCAATGGGGATGCCCATGGACTATTCGATGGTCGAATTATTCCTAGGTCCATCATGTGGTTGAATTCGTTTTTAGCTAACCTAAGTTTTTCGGGAGCGAGTCTTCGGGCTTTCGAAAATACAGGTGGTCCTGTAGTCGAGATGTGATGTGTAACATTGCTGGTTACACAAGGTAATTTCGATTGCGATTGGTATATCCCAGGGTATTTGTCGAGTACTGCTTGGTACAAGGGGTCTATGGCGTGCTTAATAGTGACTGGGGATAACCTGCAACCAGAACAAGGAGTTACGCAAACGGACAACTTAGTGTTTCCGTCTATTAACCTTCGTGAGCGTGTGTCGATGAGTAGATTGTGGTGTTGTAACAGGTCAATACCAATGATTGGCATAGAGACATCTGCAACCACGAAAATCCAGTGTATGGGTTTACGTAAACCCACGTTAAGGTAGACGTACCTTTTACCGTAAGTAGCGATCGGCTTTCCGTTTGCCGCCTGTAAACTTAAGACAGACTCGCGAAGTCTGTCGTCGAGATTTACTGGAAGAACGCTAACTTCTGCGCCAGTGTCGACGAGGTAGCGAACTTTCGTAGTCACATCCGTGACATATAAGAGGCGGCTGTGTTCGCCGGCTACGGTTGCCGTTAACGCGTGCCGGCTGGGAAGTTTCCCGAACTGTTTTTCGTGTCACTAGATTTTGGGGTCGGATAATTACAAGGTTTCCTGCAGTTTCTGGAAAACTTACCGTACTGGTTATGATACCAGCACCAGTCGGGATTGTCTGTCTCTCGTGGTCGAGAGCCAGATAGCTTACGTGAGGCGCTTCTACGCGGGGTTTTTGACCGACTACGGTCATTGCGAACTCTAAGATATCGTGTAAGCGTGTGACATAGTTCGGCCATGTCAGTCGAGGTCGATTGGGGTTTTTCTTTGACGGAAAAAACCTCGGCCTTAGAAGATCTAGTGATTTCCAAGATTCGATCGGCAGATGCAGCTAGTTCATCTATGGCATTGTTTTGAAATGAAACAAGCACTGCCTGCACCTGTTGAGGGAGTTTAGACAAGAAAAGTTGTCTAAATAGGCCATCATCGAAAGTTCGTTGGCCGATGACTTCTCTCATTCTAAGCAACATGTCCGTCGCAGAACCATGTTGCAAGTCGATATTGTTAAGGAGTTGGTCTAACCGTTGTCGATCAGTTAGGTCTCCTCGTTTTAAAATCGATAGCTTAAGCGATTCGTAAGGTTCGGAAACATCGCTAGTAAACATACTAGGTGTTACGTACCTGTTAAACTCGCGCGGTAACGCCTTAACTACCCCGAGGAAACGTGTGCGCGAGTCCGTGATTCCGTGCATGCAAAAATCGGCTTCTGCATAGCAGAACCAGGACTCGATATTGTCGGGCCAAAATGGCGTTAATTGAATCGAAATAGGGGGAATAGACTTTAACTTAAGAACCTTAGGAGAGTGTTCCGTCATAGTAATATAGATATCGAAAAATGTCTAAGTAAAATATATCCGAGAAAAAAAAAAGTATATCACAATATATAAAATTCAAATAAAGAATAACAATAAATAATAATATTCCAAAATGGAACAGACTCACAGTATATTGACTTGGTGTACCAGATCACGTCGGGTTCACCAATGATGATGCAACGGATATTCTAGTTTTACAACTAGATACCAGTAGCACCTTCTAAATTCGGTTGTTACCAGTCAGATAGAAAATCAGAAGTCGGACGAGAATAGGCTGGAAAGATATATTTGATTCGTTACCAATATATCGAGGACCTTTTCTATGAGCTGGCTAATGAAACGTAGGAGCTGTGTCCCACGCAGTATTGAAACGTGATCTGGTGCGGATGCATGACCGAAATCCTTCAGCTAAACAAGTCCACTTAAACAACGTGGTCAGCATCCAATGTCGAACACTTAATGAGCTATTGATTTTGGGGAATTATTTACAGCTACAGGGCTATCGGCCGGGCCAGAAAAGTTACTAATTAGTATTGTACAGACATCATACCAATTCTACTTTTTTCGTCAAGTACCACAAGAATTAGAAACATGAATATTACGGGAGACTTTGTGGAGTTGTCATGGTTTAGCCCACACTGATACCAGTGACAATATTTGGGGTTTAGTGACGATTGATTACAATTGTCCAGTAGCCATCGCATGTCCTCAAAAAGCCATCATTCCATAGAGGATGGATGATTATACAGAATGTGGAGGGAAAAGGTCAAAGGCCATCAGAATTTCCTTCATAAACTATCAGAAAAATTTGATTACTATTTTTATTATTACTTTTTGTTGGTGACTTAATTCCGGTTCAGTTGTGTAACTAAGATAAATGCATTCCGTGTTTTATATTATTTTCCTTTGATCGAAAAATGTTAACATCTTGACTTCACCGTTTGTCATCAGAGAAATCAGTCTAATTAACTGTTGGGTTGACAAAAAATTAATGAATCCTTATTTGGCATCAGCTAATAGTGCCAGACAATAAACCCCATGTAACCCAGAAAACTTCACCAGATAAAAAGATTTCTTCGCTACTCTTGTTTTTAATGAAAGATGAGTTTAACGTTTCAACGGGAGTTTGATGCAAATATAATTTTGAGTTTCAGTATAGACAATCAGTAGGAGAATAGCCCCTCCACTAGAATTGAAATTGACAGAGAAGTTGATGTATTAGTATTTAGAAAGCAATGTAAAAGGTGCCAAAATGCTCAAGGAAATAGACGTGACTGATATTTACTCCGATTGCTGGAAAGCTTGTTAATACGTGGCCGTATCAGTGGGGAGAAGACTGAAGACTAATCGCCTCATCATCACGAAGTTGTGTATTGGACGTTTTTCAATTTAGCGCTTATTACAAAGTTTTCCGCTACATGTTATTTTCTGGTTAGTTGAATGTTCACATTTATACCCATCATAGCCAGTATCTGGTGCAATATGTATTTTTAGCTCCTTTTTCATCTACTGCTGCCAAATTTGTTCTTATTTGTTCTTGAACGGGGTTAATGATAATAATGCTGAGTAGACTGATTAAATACTATACTAACCAAAAAAGTAATATGTAGGAATTACTCAAAATTACTCAAAATCTGAAAAACTTGTTTTGAAAGACTAACCGAGGATTATTTACGGACTGCCCACTGGAAAGCATGTTACCACCTATTATCTTAAATTCTGTCTTGACATTTGTTGTCCTACTGAAACCATTTTTTAAGCCTTGGTCGACTTGCATCTCCATAGCTAATACGAATACGGAGGGTGAAAGAAAAAATGTACAAGGAGAAAAAGGCTATTGAAGTTTGTAAGCCTAATGGTATAATAAACCTAGAGATTAGACATCTCAACTCCAGTTTTACTCAGAAACTCTTATCTTATGAAAGCTCTCCAATTATGTGGAAACTCTCTAAAGAACTGAGAGGTGACAGGTAGATTATAAACGATAACCAGCTGAATGTTTGGGGCTTAAATAAGTCTTTTGTATGTCAGTCATCTGATCTCATGATCTTTAAATCCACAGGTTTCAAGAGTAATTGCGTTCCTGGTTTCACTGAAAATGATGTCCGGAAATGTCTCCAGTCACCTAATTCATCCCCATGTTTGGGACCTGATGGTATCTCAAACCTTTTCAAAAGTGTGATGACGTTCTATGTTACCCACCCACGAATATCTTTAACAGATCCTTCTCAACTACTCTCTTACCTAAAATGTGGAGAAAGATAAAGATAATCCATGTACCTAGGGAAGTATCTGGTAATACATAAATGTGAAATTTAGACCCACAACAATAACTTCACCTTTTTTTAAAATAATGGAAAAATCATTGATATTCTCACTTCAACCTGTAATAAAAGTGCACACTGATCCGTATCAGTTTGCTTCGGTCAGTCAGCCACAACGTAGAACCAGGCACATATATGCATCAGTCCAAGTTGCCATACCCCATTAGCACAACAAGATGAACACCAAATTCATAGAAGTAGTTAATTTAGTGGTGGTAATATATAAAAAATAGGTTATATATAAGGATATAGTACACGAAGAAAAAACAGATATGAAGCAATTTTAATCTCAAGGTTTAAGGGAAGACAAAGGGTGTATACACCTACGCCATCGTGATTGATTCTGAGCCACGTGGAAAGGCAGAATCGCTGTTATGCTGGTTGTCTGAAGGAAACACCTTACTGCTGTCACACCTCTGTACAGTCGACAGTACGACTTCGCCTTCAGACCTTGGGTTTTCTGCTTTTAGTCTTACCGCTCTTCAACTGACCTGCCTGGCATGGTGGAACCTTGGGGAATGACTGTTCCAGGCAGTATAGCTCGATTGGCTCATCACGATAGGCAAGCACGACCACCACTTCAAGGTAGCAGCAACGGTCGGGTTACACATGCTTAACTTTGTAGATCTGAGAAAATGTTATATGAAAGCTCACTGGCATCTGGTATATGTCCTTTCGCCTATTTTCGACGTCATATGTATAGATCCTGTTAAAAAGTAGTTAACGTGCTTTCTTATTAACAACACCAGCGCGTATTTACGGAGATACTCTGTGTTGCTTGCACTTCAGAAAAATCTTAAGAATATTCGCTTATTACCTAAAAAAACGATGAAATACAACTATTTATTTATTTATATTTATTTAATCACATATATATTGGTACAAAGGGCACCGGATACATATGCGCCACACAAAATAATGAGAATGGGAGGAGAAGGAAGAGAGTGCGTATATATAAAGAAAGGAAAAAAAGAAAAGTAATGATGGGGGGAACTAAAATGTACAACCAGAAGAGCTCTCAGTTAGGAAAGTTATAGCCACTCTTTATGAAGAAAGTAGAAGAAGGTTACAGCAGGATCACCACTGGCTTCTATTCTGAGCCATATCTGATAACGTCTCTAGCCACTGTATTATTTATTTATTTAAACACATTGGTACAAAAGGGTACCAGATACATATGCGCCACACAAAATAATGAAAGTAGGAAGAGAAGGGATGAAAAGATAAGGCGGACTGAAATGTACAACCAGAAGACTCTTTCAGTTAAGGAAGTTATAACCACTCTTTGTGAAGAAAGTAAAAGAAGGTTACAGCAGGATCACCACTGGCTTTTATTGTGAGCCATATCTAATAACGTCTCTAGCCACTGTGTTGCACCATATCTTGGATCCCAACCAGGGAGTCGTGAAGGGCCAACAAAAGCTAGCCCTTTGCAGCTTTCTTTCATACCACGACACCATGTCACACATTGACGACCTCTCCGCTTTTTCCAATCAGTTCCAGAGTCGGCGAATAATGCACGTTGTGGAATTCTCTGGGACGACATTCGTAAAACATGTCCAAGCCACCGAAGTCGGTGTTTCAAGATGGTGACACCAATTGAATTATTGTCTCTGCTCCCGAATGCATGATGCTGAACCTCTGCATTACTAACACGGTGTTGCCATTGGATGTCATCAATCCTTCGGAGACGACGATGATCGAACACAGAGAGTCGTCTAACATCCTTAACTCGGAGAGGCCAGGTTTCACAAGCATAGAGCAAAACTGCTCTCACCGACGCGTTGTAGATCCGATCGTTTACAGCCAGACTAACATCACGAAGGCGCCAAAGATGGCCCAGATTGGCATAAGCCGCTCTGGCTTTCATTATACGTGCATCAATCTCATCACTCACGCCACCACCAGCACTTATATAGCTGCCTAGATACAAGAACTTCTCAACTACTTCAATCTGCTCACCATCCAGGGTGAGTACAGGATTAAAATCCTGCCAGTCTTGTAGAAGTACTTTGCACTTGGAAGGTGCAAAGCACACACCATACCTACGGACACTAATTGCCCACTGATTAAGTGCGGATTGTATGCCTTGGGCATTATCGCACAGTAAGACAATATCATCCGCATACTCGAGGTCGAGAAGTCGTTCTCCAGGAAGCAGATCCACACCACCATTACTTACATCCATCAGAGCTGTTTCCAGGATGTCGTCGATAGCAAAGTTGAAGAGGAATGGTGAGATTGGGCAACCTTGCCTAACCCCACTGCTCGAATGGAACAAGGGAGAAAGGTAGTTGTATGCCCTCACTCTGCCTGAGGTGTTCGTATACAGGGCCTTTAGATGTTAATGACCTTCTCAGGCACACCCTTCTTCAATAGGCAATCCCAAAGGACAGTCCTGTCCAACGAATCGAAGGCAGCCATGATATCAAGAAACACTACGATTGTTGGCCTGCGATAAGTATGACGGTGTTCTAACATTTGGCGGAGGGTGAAGATGTGATCAATGCATCCTCGACCAGAACGAAAACCAGCCTGCTCCTCGCGAGTCAATCTTTCTCGGGTTTTAAACAACCTACGAAGAATGATAGAAGCCAATAGTTTGGACGCAATCGGAAGTAGACTTATCCCTCGATAGTTGTTACAGGAACAACGTTAACCCTTTTTAAAGATAGGGACGACTATTGACTCATTCCATGATGTTGGAACACTTTCTTGCTCCCAAACCTTTCCAAACAACACAGTCAATTCCTTAGTCAGAAAGTCACCACCATCTTTAAAAAGAGCCGGAGGTAAGTCATCTGGGCCCGGTGATTTGTAACGTTTCAAGAGTTGGAGTTCCTTGCGGACTTTCGCCTCGTTTGGTGGATCAGTCGTCACCGGCCATGGGGGCAGGACAAACTGGTTGATGTTGCCGGAGCAGCAGGCCAGTTGAACTGCCCTTCGAAAAATTCCGCCCATCGTCCAAGACGTCGAGAGATGTTAGTGATTGGCATCCCATCATCCTCGTAGATTGTTTCACTCACACCAGACTTCTTGCTTACAGTGGCTCGGATGAGTTGGAAGAGCTTCCGGCAGTTACCAGATGCAGCTGCTGCTTCCATCTCATTAGCACGCTCCGACCACCAGGCTTCTCGGTCCTTACACAAGCTTTGCCCAATTTCATTACGTAACAGCCTTCGTTTGTGGTCATACTCACGGTCACCCGGAGTAGACCGACGGGCTTCCATCAGTTGTAAGGAGCCAGAAGAAACCCAGTGCTTGTAAGCGGGACGTTTCGCGAAGCCGCAAGCGGCTTTACTCGCCATTTTCATGGCGTCGTGAAGATGCAACCAATGCTCATCTATACTTTTCGGTGGGATGGTAACTAGCCTAGAAGCTAGCTCCGCTCGATACTTACTTGCAACAGAAGTTGCAGCCAGTTTACTAACATCGATCCGTTGGTCGTGGTCAATCTTTTGGCCACTGAAAAGTAAGGTAAGATTGGCGCAGACCAGGGCATGATCAGACTCCAGATAGGTACTCCAAAAGGAGCGGCAGTCTTGTACACAACCACGCCAGCGGTAGCTGATCGCGATGTGATCAATCTGAGTCCAGGCCTGAGATGCAGAGGAAGGACGCCAGGTGGCACACCGGCGATGACTGTGCCGGAAGTTAGTGCTAGCCAGAAACAGGTTGTGGTCTGTGCACAGTTGCAGCAAACGGTCCCCGTTATCTGTCCTGCGACAAACAAGTCCCCATCGGCCACCTAAACGACTCTCTTCTGTGCCTAAACGCCCGACCTGTGCATTGAAGTCTCCGGCTAGTGCTATAATATCTGTCGAACGCGCTTTCTGGAGAAGAACTGTTAACTGATGGTAAAACTCATCCTTGATTGCATCCGGGCTGCAATCCGTCGGGGCATAGGCGGAGATGACGAAAATACACCGTTTCTCACGCCGATTTCTTCTCACTTTGATGGAACTTTCTAATCTAACAGCACATAAACGACTGTTAATGGGGATCCAATTGATTAGTGCTGCCTCAGCCCTAGCTCTTAGTGCGACACCAACGCCAGCAAGACCAGACGAAGATGCCACAGGGTTCCCGGATAAGCACGTGAAACAAGCTTTTCGAGGCGACAGATGTAGAGCGAATTTGTAGTACTTCACTAGAGTCTTGAATACGGGTCTCGGATAGACAACAAAAATCAACATTAAGACCATCCAAAGACATAGCCAGCCCATCTGTTGTCTGATCTGCATTAGTGTGCGAACGTTGAAGGAAGCCAGCTTGAACGGCGTACGTGGTTTCAGAAAGACTGCTTCGGTATTCGTAATCGGTGGAAGCATTCACTTTCAACCAGACAGTGACTGGAGATCGTTTAGATAGGACAGATTTTCCACCATGGGCGAGCTGCTGCATAAGTTGAAATGTAAGGTTACACAAATTGGGGATAAAAGGGGGTGAGTTAGCGATATGGTAAATAATAATAATAATAATAATAATAATAATAATAATAATAAAGATAATAATAATAATAATGTAAATTGTCTTGCTTTTAGTATGAGCAGGGATATTATCGTCAATAGAGTTCATCATTTCATTCATTTGTGTGTGGGCTGTGATACTGCCCGGGTGCCCAAACCGAAGCAGGTGGTTTTCTTAGGGGGCCACACCCCGAGCCTTTGACTTAAAGGTCTGATCCACAAGACAGTAGAGCATCGTGAGGAGATGCAGTCCCATGGTAGCCGTTGACCAACAACAGGCTCATTCGCCATTCGTTCCATCAGGATACTGGAGCCAGCCCATGTGCACCATTGGTTTGGAATCAGGGTTTTCCAACTCCCCTAGGTAAACATTCCACATCGACCAACCCGGTTAAATTGCCGGACATTCGCTTTTCGTCCTCTCAATTTCGTAAACAGCACCGGTGCCACGAGAAGGCAGTGAGTAGGACTTCCTCGTGAGAGGCTATATACGTGTGACCATGTGAGAGCATTTGGAGAGGGAGAGGTGACTCTCCCCACTCTCGGCCGTACCAGGGCATTTGGGGGCGAAATACAACTATAGTTTTCTATTTATTCAGTTTCCCGTGCTCATGTTGGTTCTTTTGACTCGTGATTGATTTAGTAGTCGTGAAACTTGTGTTGGTTTTCGAGGAAGAGGTTAGGGGTGTCAATCTGCCAGTTTTAAACGATTTATTTTACGTTCAGTGAATCAAAATATTATGACAATAAATGTTAGTAATGTAACGTTGCGTTCCTGAAGGTTTAAGGTATAATTCCATATATTTAAAATATCTATCATAACAACTTCAACAACAGACTAGTGTGTTTAAGATTTCATAAAAAACCACGTTTGACAAGCGATAAGTTGCGTTGTTAATTTTGTCGTTAACACTAAAAACAAAAGCGTGAGCAAAAAGCATGCTTATTTTGAATAGTGCGACTGCTTTGAGAATAATTAAAAGCTATTCCAAGTGTCAGGAAGCTATTCTCGGATAGTTAGTTATATTAAAGCACTCGACCTCCAATAAACCCAGTGCAGATACGTTGCGATTGTATTCTAACTATGAAAATCGCACTTAATCAGTTTCTCTAAATATGGCATTTACTTTTCACCTGAATGGAAATAACTTTAAAAGGCGGACAGAAACCTGTGTGGACACTCACTCTTTGTATTTAGAAGTTGGAAGTAATCGGAAAAGTAGTCGTGTAAGTGTTGGTGGTGGCCTAGTTCACAAACATATACGTGGTTGTTGAGTTACATTAATATTACATTGTTTCATTGTAAAACTGATCTGTGAAAGCTGCTGTACATAAGAGTATCATCTATATATTCTCGGATCATAAAGTCGATAGTTTGTGCATCATGGTTTTTCTGGTTAGCGTTCTTTAGCGAGTTGGTTTTCTACGGGATGGGGTCGCTAACCCCATGCCCAACCCTCCTCCTTTACCCGGGCTTGGGACCGGCAGTAGCCCCCGGAGGAGCTGCAGGCGGAGTTGTGTATCATGGTAGAAACTAGAATAAATTCATCTCGGCTATAGATTATTGACTAGCCAGTTAAATAAACCACTAGTTTTTGGTTTAACCAACCCTCTTCCAAACCTTATCACATTGTCAATTATCTCAATAATACTTGAACTGACCATTTACTACCTTTCTCAAACCAGCTACTGACTAAAAATGCCTTCTCTATCTATTGTAGCTTTTCTGTTCATCAATAAATGGCTATTAGTCGATTGTTTTTCACGATTACGTACCTCATAAATCTGTACTTCGGTTGTGACGTATATCCAACGATTCATACACAATGTAGAATCTGACCCATATTCATTGGTTCAGGTTTTCATCATATTAATACAGCGCGATCCTGGAGTAGTGCAAGTAGCAACAGTATTAGTGATAGTAGAAAAGATTAGTCATAGAAGATATACTTTAAGAAAGAAAATATGCATCCGTGGAATAAGAAACGTTTAAGGTTATTAGGTTACTTAAGATCTATGAGAAGACAGAGCTCATACATCTACCCCATTGCAAATGATTTTTAATCTATATCATCCAAAGTCTAACCATTGGTTACGAAAATCACGATTACTATAACCTAACAGTCGATGACTTCACGGACTGATGCCACGTTTTGGTTTGACTATCCCTAACTTCCAAATTGCTCCTACACTAGCCATCATCGCGTGTGGAGATAAAAGGTGATAGGGGTACGTAATGCATGTCCCAACCATCTTGGACAATAAAAATCTACACTCTATCCATCTTTGTTTTGTACGATCTTTAATAATAATAACCTTCCACTTAATATGAAATATTTCTTGGTGTAAATTCAACTTATTATTGTTTGTTTGGATCTTCCCATTGATGTTTTTAGACTGCAACTGGTCAGTCTCTAATTGGCACATGTGCGTATTGCCTCGATATAGCCTAAATTCACAAGCATGGTAAGCAAAGATGGATAGTGGCTAGCAGTGGAATCCAGGACGCGCGTCACTTCGTCCTATTTGGAACTCGTCAGCTGGATGTACCTGCATCTCAGAGTTGATGTTCACTCTGGCCGAGTGGATAACTCGATGGCGTTTGAAGCGAAAGGTACTGGGTTCTAGTCCCAGAGTGAACATCAACTCTGAGATGCAGGTACATCCAGCTGACGAGTTCCAAATAAGACGAAGTGACGCGCGTCCTGGATTCCACTGCTAGCCACTATCCAGCTTTTCTTACCATTTCTTGGTGTATTTTTCGTCCCATGCCTTTTTTAAATCAATATTGTGATCATTTATATAGTTCTTTTGTTGATATACTATTTTTGTCATATTGTGAACTGTTATTTGTTTGTATTGCCTACTTTTTATGCTCCCATTTTTTATTATTCATATGTAGATGGAGTCGGACAACGATATAAACAGCCACTATAACAATGTATGCGATTCATTTGATCGTATGAATTTAAAAGAAAATCTTTTACGTGGAATATTTGCATATGGTTTTGAAAAACCTTCCGCCATACAACAAAGAGCTATAATTCCATCAATTGAAGGACGTAATGTCATAGCTCAAGCTCAGTCGGGCACTGGGAAAACAGCCACGTTTAGTATTGCCATTTTACAACAAATCTGTACGAACGATCCACGTTGTCAAGCCTTAGTATTGGCTCCAACTAGGGAACTAGCGAAACAAATTCAAATGGTAATTTGCGAATTATTCATTATTATTACTATTATGTTCGACTTCTAACTAAAGGATAAGTTTAATGCTCACCAGTACACTGTTCTGCCTTACGGCTGTACAACGTGGCACTACTAGCATTTGATCATAGATGCTTTTGAAGTATTGCTCACGTATAATGGAACCATAGGGTGATAAATGTTGTGGTTAGACGCAAGGTGTTAAATAAGGTTAGGAAGTCAATTTAAGAACTGTAGATCTTCGTTGTCTAAAGTAGATGGGATATAATATTACGTATCACAAACGACCGCATACCTCTGTTCTCGATGCTTGGCGTATAATAAGTTGGGAGAACGTTAGGAGCGGGCTAACCGGAAATCTACGTTAGTCCACTAAGTTGTTGACTGTTAGACTAAGCCGTGTAAATAAATGCATACTGCCTGCTTGAGGTCCCGGGCGATCTTCTTAACCGATAGCTGTTAATCCTTCGTGACGTGGTTTAAAGTCTGTCGCAATAGGGTAAATGCATATTAGTGTATGTTAGTGTAATAATAAGAATAATAGTGGGGGAAACAGAAATGTACAACCAGAAGACTCTTTCAGTTAAGGAAGTTATAACCACTCTTTGTGAAGAAAGTAAAAGAAGGTTACAGCAGGATCACCACTGGCTTTTATTGTGAGCCATATCTAATAACGTCTCTAGCCACTGTGTTGCACCATATCTTGGATCCCAACCAGGGAGTCGTGAAGGGCCAACAAAAGCTAGCCCTTTGCAGCTTTCTTTCATACCACGACACCATGTCACACATTGACGACCTCTCCGCTTTTTCCAATCAGTTCCAGAGTCGGCGAATAATGCACGTTGTGGAATTCTCTGGGACGACATTCGTAAAACATGTCCAAGCCACCGAAGTCGGTGTTTCAAGATGGTGACACCAATTGAATTATTGTCTCTGCTCCCGAATGCATGATGCTGAACCTCTGCATTACTAACACGGTGTTGCCATTGGATGTCATCAATCCTTCGGAGACGACGATGATCGAACACAGAGAGTCGTCTAACATCCTTAACTCGGAGAGGCCAGGTTTCACAAGCATAGAGCAAAACTGCTCTCACCGACGCGTTGTAGATCCGATCGTTTACAGCCAGACTAACATCACGAAGGCGCCAAAGATGGCCCAGATTGGCATAAGCCGCTCTGGCTTTCATTATACGTGCATCAATCTCATCACTCACGCCACCACCAGCACTTATATAGCTGCCTAGATACAAGAACTTCTCAACTACTTCAATCTGCTCACCATCCAGGGTGAGTACAGGATTAAAATCCTGCCAGTCTTGTAGAAGTACTTCGCTCTTTGAAGATGAAAAGCACATACCGTACATGCGGACACTGATTGCCAACTGATTAAGGGCGATAAGTGGAATACTTAAAAAAAATTCAGTGAACGCATAGTTGCAATTTAGTTAACCACTACTCAATGTTAGTGTGAATAAAAGATTGGTTTGAGTATTGTGATGATCCAGTAGAGCTCTATTAACCCCAAATACCCTGGTACAGCCGAGAGTGAGGAGAGTCCGCTCTCCCTCTCGAAATGCTCTCACATGGTCACACGTATATAGCCTCTGTCAGGGAAGTCCTGCTCACTACCTTCTCTCAAATGGGGAGTTGTTAACGAAATTGAGAGGACGAAAAGCGAATGTCCGGCGCTTTAACCGGGTTGGTCGATGTGGAATGTTTACCTAGGGGAGTTAGGAAACCCTGATTCCAAACTAATAGTGCACATGGGCTCCAGTATCCTTAGGAGACGAGTGGCATATGATTCAATCGTTGGTCACCGCCTACCATGGGACTACATCTCCTCATGATGGTCCACTTCCTTGTGGATCAGGTCTTTAGGTCAAAGACTCGGTTTGTGGCCCCCTAAGAAAACCACCTTCTTCAGTTTGGTCACCTGGGTAGTATCACAGCCCTCACACAAATCGGATGAGATTTGTGCGGCGCGTATGTATCTGGTGCTTCCTTGTACCAATATTTATGTGTTTCAATAATCCCCATAAACTACTCAAAACCGAAAATTATGACTTTGCTTTTTCTTTATTGTAAATAGGTTGTTCTAGCACTTGGTGATTATATGAATATTAGTTGTCATGTTTGTATTGGTGGTACACAAGTGTCCACTGATATTGAACAATTACAATTAGGTCAACAAATTGTAGTTGGTACACCTGGACGTGTATTAGATATGATTAGTCGTGGTTATCTACGTACACAAACAATTAAATGTTTTGTATTGGATGAAGCAGATGAAATGCTTAGTTTAGGATTTAAAGATCAAATTCAAGAAATATTCCGATCACTTAATTCATCTGTTCAAGTAAGTTTATCATTATTATTATTATTATTATTATTATTATTGTCATTACTTTTTCTCAAGTTTAAAAGGATTTTTAATGATGAGCCGATGCCATCAGTTAGAAAACCGAATCGCAAATATGTTATATCTTGTGGCCGAGTAGATGCCTAGTTAATGTATGACGTGATAAGACCGCCAATCAGAAAGCAGCAAATTATCGATTGGAACAGTGATACACGTAAACCGTACGAGCAGTCTAGAGTACTGATCGGTTCTGCTTTCTGCCTACCCCAGTCAGTTAAGTTCAGAACACCAATAACAACCTCTGCGGTATGAATCATTATATTTCAAACATATTGAGTTTATATTACCAAACAGACTGACCACATCGTACCAATAAAATAGAAAATAAAATTTGTACAAGAGTTAGCCAAATGTGTCTGTGAATAGGGGGAGCAGTAATTAATAGACTGGGTATAACTCGGGAATGGTAAATCGTACAATAATAGTCCAAGGGTCAAAATAAAGCCCACAATGAAAGGAACATGAATATGAGTAGTTTAATTATTTTGCAATTATACGATAAAAATTATATGCATAATATTGATCCACAAATGGATTCCAAAGTTACCATTCACTATTGTTATCGGGGCATAATAAAATTAGCGATTACATCAAATAAATGTTTCATTCTAGTTTTAGAATCCTTAAAAATGTGTATACCCGTAAATTTCATCCATTAACTCTCATAGATTCGAACCCTTCTCCATGCATGATCGCCCCCGAATGCCCTGGTGCGGCTGAGAGTGGGGAGAGTCCGCTCTCCCTCTCGAAATGCTCTCACATGGCCACGCATATATAGTCTCTGACAGGGAAGTCCTACTCACTGCCTTCTCGTGACATTACTGTTGTTTACGAAATTGAGAGGACGAAAAGCAAATATGGTCGATTTTAAACCATTTCAGTTTAAGGTCTTTCTGTAAATTATATACAAATGATCTAGCCCATATAGTATGGCTTCCGAAAGAGAAAGTTTAGTGTTGAAAGTCAAGGTAGAAGGAATAGTAGGAATTGAAGAAGGAGATTGATTATAGATACAGTGGTCCTTAGTGCTGTTAGAGGTATGAGGGCAGTTATCACTTCCCGGTTGCCCACACCGTGGAAGGGTTTTTCTAGAGGTACCTGAAAAGGAAATTGGGTTAGAAGTAGTCTTAATGACCTGAGAGCGTGACCACAGTGCCCAAGGGACAACTGCTTGAGGTCGGTCACACACGACCTTTTTGTGGGTAGTTTTTGTGTTAGCTCCGTTCTTCAGAAAAACCTTAGCGCCGGAGACGGATATCCGTGGGATAAGGTGAGGTGTGCATTTTTAGGGTCAACCTTTTCTAACCCCACCCCTCCTTGTGGGAAGACAGCATCGTTGTTATGCTGGTTGTCTGAAGGAAACACCTTACTGCTTTCACACCTCTGTGCAGTCAGCAGTACGACTTCGCCTTCGGACCTTGGGATTGCTGCTTTTATTCTTACCGCTCTTCAACTTACCTGTGTGGCATGGTAGGACCTTGAGAAACGATTGTTCTAGCCAGTATAGCTCGACTGGTTCATCACGATAGGCAAGCCCGCCCATCACGTCAAGGTAGCAGCAACGGTTCTCATTATATGAAAGTGGTATACTAATTAGGAATTAGAGTGAAGCATATGGAATGACATATATGACCCCTACATTTTGGATTATCATCTTACAAAAGCTCTACACTTACTTTTTCAATTATTGCATCTTAATTATATCTGGCGGTAAAATAACACATTGTTGTACGTAAAATTCTACTGGTACTCTTAGTTACCTGTCTCACAACCAACATCAGTATTCTTGTATTAGTAATTCCGTTAATGTCCAACGGACAGCAATCTTATGTTTAGTGTAAGTCAAAACTGATTTGATAAGTTTAAAGAGTAAAACCTTACATTCGATTGTGCATGTAGAGCGAGATTCAAACCTACCACCCGACAACTGGATGTTAAGTTCTTTAAGCAATTCTCTTTTGATTAGCAGAATAATGAATAAGTCATACCAAAAAATCTAGTTTCTAGCCAATTATTAAATACCAGGTAGTCTGTAGGTTTTATAGTTTACAATTTAGAACTTCGTACGTACGTGCATCAGTTCGAGTTGCCATACTACATTAGCACAGAGATTCAGTTGTCGATTCAAATACCATAGTGGTAGAAGTAGTAAGAGTATAAGCAGTAATCGGAAAGATTAGGGTTTGAAGATGTTATTGAAGGAGTATAATCCAGTGAAATAAATTTGGAAAGACAAAAAAGATATAGACCTCGGAGACGTCGGCGAGAGTTCTGGGAAGAGTTCTCTTTTCATCGATAAAATGAACTTTTTAAATAGTTTTTTACTGTTTCAATCCGTCAAACCGAAATCAGTTTTATATGACTGTTCCTTTGTGTATATCCTGGCGATCATTGTTTTTCTGCACTGTCATGGTTACTATTTACGTGGAAAATTTATACCCGCTTGTTGGCTCATTGTACCATTTTCTACGCGCTACTTTATATGAATATAATCTCATGCTACTGAATAATGCACAAGTAGTTTAAAACTTTATTATTAAATTCCTGTTAAGTTATCGTTTATCGCATGCAGATTACAGGTTTCGGTAGTTTGATTGTTATCGGTTTCTCTCTGTTCTTATTAAGAATACTTATCTAGACTCATTTTCTACGATGAATTGACTTCAACACCATGGCTATTAAGCTTGTCCACCCTACGTAATAATAAATAAGTCATGACACGAACTAGTATTAAATAGGGTGTATTTCAAACAAGCTTGTCGTCAAGCACAAATGACTGGTATGAATTTATAATATTAGATGTTGTATATTCCTAAATCATATTGATTTGTATCAGCAGTCAAATAAATCCTTATCATCGGTTTTTGGTTCTTGCATTTCACCCCCTTTTCTCTTGTGTTCATATTGCTATGTAGATTTAGTCAGGGGCTATTAGAAATGGCTAGGAAATCAAATCGAATATATTCAGTTAGCAGACTTTTCTATGTTCAAATATATGTGCACAAATAAAAACTCATGATTCCTCTCAGGAGTAAGTGAAAAATAAACAGTCATATGGCAACTCTACTGTCAACCATCAATCACGTGTCTTATATCTTTTTGACACTGATCAGAAGAAAAGGCTTAAAAAATATTATATAGTTGAGATCATGAGTCAATTGAAGCTAGACCACCATGAAAAACCTGGAAGCACTGGACGGCCGTCTCGTCCTATTATGGGACTCTTCAGCAGTGCGCATTCACGATCTCGCCTCGTGGGATTTGAACCCACAATAGGACGAAACGGCCGTTCAGTGCATCCAGATTTTCCATGGTGGTCTAGCTTCAATTGACTCATGATCTCAACTATATAAAATTACTAAAATCTCCACGAAACCCCCTTCTGATACTTAAAAAAATAACTGCAAAAATCGAAACGATTATTCTGTTCTGAAGTTAGGATAGGGTCACTACAACGTTTAGATGTTACCTAAAATCATTTTATTCATCCCTACAACTAAATTGTTACTAGATAACATTAAAATAAACGGGATTGTAGTATTAATAATGTAAAAGTTTGATTAATGCCATGGTACGGACGAAGCTGGGGAGAATCAGCTCTCCTTCTCCAAATGCTCTCAAATGGTCACGCATATATAGCCACTGTCAGGAAATTCCTACTCACGACCTTCTCGCATCATTACTGTTGTTTACAAAATTGAGAGGACGAAAAGCAAATGTCCGACGTTTTAACCGGGTTGATGGATATGGAGGATCTACCTAGGGCAGTTGAAAAACCCTCATTCCAAACCAATGGTGCATATAGACTCCATGATCCTAAAGGAACAAATGGCATATGAACCTATTGTTTGTCACAGGCTACCGTAGGACTGCATCTGACGTTGCTCCATTGTCTTGTGAATTAGACCTCTAGGTTGAAGTCTCCGGGATCGGCTCCCTAAGAAAACCACCTGCTTCGGTCTGGGCACCCCATCAATATCCTAGCCCTCACACAAATCGAATGATTTATGTGGCGCATATGTATTTGTTGCCTCATCGTACCCATGTTTATGCATACTAGTTATCACCCATCAACAATCTTGAAGGAACTGATAGTCCTTGGAGTGTTCGGACATGGGTCACGTATTACGCATGCCCAACTACCGACAAGCACGACATGCAATGCTGACTAATGTTGTAGACGAATGGAAGAAAGTTAGGGGAGGTCAAATAATTCAGTTTTCGTTCTCTCAATTTCGCAAACAAAACACCCCCACAGCTGAAAGGCAGTGTGAGTAAAACTTCCCTGACAGTAGCTATTTGTACATCTGGCTATGTGAGATCATTTCGAGAGAAGGAGAGCTGATTCTCCTCACCCTCGACCGTACCAGGTCATTTAAGGGCCCAGTATTGATTAGCTCATTTCTGTATCCATATTGTTTTTCTTATTTGTAATTATTTTGTTTGTATTTTTCTCTCCCACTCTTTCTTAGATCATTTTATTATCTGCAACAATACCAAATGAAGTATTAGAAATATCTAAACATTTTATGCGTAATCCAGTACGTATATTATTAAAACAAGAAGAATTAACATTAGATGGTATACGTCAATTTTATGTTAATGTTGAACAAGAAGAATGGAAATTAGAAACATTATGTGATTTATATCAAACAATAACAATAACACAAGCAGTAATATTTTGTAATTCACGTAGAAAAGTTGAATGGTTAACAAATGAATTAATTGAACGTGATTTTATTGTATCAGCAATGGTAAGTAGAATGAATTTATGGCCCCCTGGTGCAGCCGAGAGTGGGGAGAGTCAGCTCTCCCCCCCTCTCTCTCCCTCTCGAAATGCTCTCACATGACTAGGAGTATACAGTCACTGTCAGGGAAGTCCTAGAATTTTCATAGTTTAAAGCAGTTGAGTCAATTGAAGCTAGAACACCAGGAAAAATTTGGAAGCACTGGACAAAGGCTGTTTCGTCCCATTATTGGACTCTTCAGTGGCAGTGCGCATCCACGACCTCGAATCGCGAGCGAGATTCGAACCCAGGATCTAACAGTCTCGCGCCAGAGCACTTAACCGATAGACCACTGAACCCGCATCCAACGGTGTTAATGTCTAACTTCAACTGATCCACGAAGTTGAGCAACCGTTTACCGAATGTCTTCAGTGAGTTGATATCTCATAACAGACGTGGTTTGAACTCCACTGGTCACTGCTTCTCACTAGAACTCTTGGATTTACCTCTCGATGTCAGTTACTAGTGAGCATATGATTATTAGTATTGTCAGAAGGGGGGTTTTATGGAGATTTCAGTATTTTCATAGTTGAAAGCGTGAGTCAATTGAAGCTAGACCACCTGGGAAAAGTTGGAAGCACTGGACGACCGTTTCGTTCTATTATGGGACTCCTCAGTGGCAGTGCGCATCCACGACCTTGCCTCGCGAGATTCTAACCCAGGACCTTCTATCGGTTAACTGCTCTGGCGTGAGACTCACGCTTTCAACTATGAAAATACTAAATCTCCACAAAACCCCCATCTGATAATAAGTTCTGGAATATTGTTTATTCTGGTTAGTGTTTTTTTAGCAAGATTGTTTTCCATAGGGGGTAGGTGGGTTTGTCGACCCCATGACCAACCCTCCTCCTTTGTGTGGGCTTAGGACTTGCAGTAGTCCTAGAAGATCTACAGACAGAGTTAGAATTAAAATAGAACCATTTGATTCTTCATTATCCTATCCATCTCTCATTTTCTACTTATTCTCTTTCTCTTTTGAATATGGATTCATTATTAGCATGGTGAAATGGAACAAATAGAACGTGATAATATTATGACAGCATTTCGTAGTGGTTCAAGTCGTATATTAATTTCAACGGATCTATTATCACGTGGTATTGATGTACAACAAATATCATTGGTGATTAATTTTGATTTACCAACAAATTTAGAAAGTTATATACATCGGTAAATGAATGTTATTCCATTATCATTATCATTATTATTATTATTATTGCTACTATCATTATTATTATTACTATTTTATAGAGTTGAGATCATGAATCAATTGAAGCTAGACCATCATGAAAAAGTTGGAAGCACTGAACGGCCGTTTCGTCCTATTGTAGGACTCGTCAGCAGTGTGCATCCACGATCCCGCAGTCGCGAGCGAGATTCGAACCCAGGATCTATCCGTCTCGTGCGCAAGCGCTTAACCTTTACATCATTGAGCTGGCCGGCATCCAACGGTGTTAATATCTAACCCCAACCGATCCACGAAATTGAGAAACCATTCACCAATGTTATCAGTGAGTTGATATCTCTCAACAGACCTGGTTGAACTCCATTGGTTACTGCTTCTCACTAGAACTCCATGAAATACCTTATGGAGCCATTAAGTGGACAAAAAGCTAATGTTCGGCGCTTTAACCGGGTTGGTAGATATGAAGGATCCATCTAAGAGAGTTGAGCAACCTTATTCCAAACAAACGGTGCACATGGGCTCCAGGATCCTGAAAGAACAAATGAAATATGAAGCAATTGTTGATCACCAATTACCATATAACTGTATCTCCTGACGTTGGTTTAATGTCAGTCAGTCAGTAAGTCACAACGTAGAACTTCGTACGTACGTACATCAGTTCGAGTTGCCATACCACATTAGCATAGGGATGCAGTTGTCGATTCAAATCCCATAGCGGTAGTAGTAGTAGTGTGATGTGGTCTACTTATATATATATACTTATATATGGTGTGGGTCAGACATAGAATGTATTTTGGCAGAAGACCGATGAGCAAAGAACTGAAATGAATCGCAATCGTTTGGAAAGTGCATGAGCAATGGAATTAGAGAAGAAACAGTGAAGATTGAAACAATTGGTTGTTAATTTGCAAATTGACTGTTCATTGTATGGTTTTCAGAATTTACTGAGATAGTCTGTAATTTATGCTTAAATACATTCGATTATCCCCAACCGGTGTTTTGTTCACTACAGTAGTAGTAAAAGCATAAGCAGTAATCGGAAAGATTAGGGTTCGAAGATGTCATTCAATGGGCATAAGTGTTGTTTACGAAAGTGAGAGGACGAAAAGCGAATGTTCGGCGCTTTAACCGGGTTGGTGGACAAGGCGAGTCCACCTAGGGGAGTTGGAAAACCCTGATTCCAAACCAGTGGTGCATATGGGCCCCAGTATCCTGAGGGAACAAATGGTATATGAATCAATCGTTGGTGAACGGCTACCATGGGACTTCATCTCCTCACGATGCTCTACTGCCTTGTGGATCAGATCTTTAGGTCAAAGGCTCCGGGTGTGGCCCCCTAAGAAAACCACCTGCTTCAGTCTGGGCACCTGGGCAGTATCTCAGCTCTCACACAAATCGAATGATATTTGTGAGGCGCATATTTATCTGGTGCTTCCTTGTACCAATGTTTATGTGTTTAAATAAATAAAATAATCTACACCATGAAACATTGCACGTCAGGGCAGTCGGTGGTTGGGCATACGTAACACGTGTCCCAGCCATCTCAACTGATGAAGTTTCACTACTTCATCAATCGATTTACCGTCCTTACGTAGTACCCGTTTCCTAACAACGTCATTACTTACTCGGTGGTCCCAGGATATACGAACAATGCGTCGAAGACACCTATGATCGAACACTAGTAGCCTACGAATATCCTCTACTCTTATTGGCCATGTTTCACTGCCATGAAGTAGGATGGAACGCACTGCTGCACAGTAAACCCGTCCTTTTGTTGCTAGACGGATATCTCTCCTACGCCATAAATGACGCAAGTTGGCGAAAGCTAGACGAGCCTTCTGTATCTGTGCTGAGATTTCGTCACACACCAGACCACAAGAGCTGATGAGACTCCCAAGATAAGTGAAGCGGTCAACACTCTCATCATCATTAGTTCAGGTGCTGATGCAACCCAATCCTGAAGTAACATTTTGCATTTCGAGGGAGAGAATCGCATCCCGAACATGACTGCATTGTTGCTTATAGTGGTCAGAAGACTCTGCATTTTGTCAGCGTTTTCACCAAATAAAACTATGATGCACATGGACTTTAGGATCCTGAAGGAGTATAAACCATTTTCTTTGTCACCAATCATCATATGACTAATATCTTTTTGATTAGACGTTTATGTAAAAGACTCGGTTTGTGGCCTCCTAAAAAACCACCTGCTTCGGTTTGAGCATTCGATCAGTATCCTAGCCCTCACACAAATCATATGATTCATGTGGTGCATCTATATTTAGTGCTTTCTTGTACTAGCTAACCATATGAGAGCATTTGAAAAGGGAGAGCTGACTCTCCCTAGCTTCACAATTGATTGATCACTGGTTAGTGATCAATGTCATGTCTGTCAAGTCCTTCATAGTGCTGATCAAATTCCATCGATCAAGTTGCAATGTGGCCACTAGTCTAGGTGGCTCAACACTACGTGCACTATGTTGAGATAAGATGGTGGTTGGAGATGGTCAACAGGAAAACCTGAACCCGGGTTTCGTGCTACTTGCCACTCGTCCTCAGCTTCGGCCTGTACCAGAGCATTTCGGGGGCGGGAAAGTCCCAAATAGTACAAACTCCTAGTTCTTAACACAATTTCAAGCCATCATCCAACTTTGATAGTTCTATTAACCTCTCTCTCTCTTTGTTTCTATGTTGTTTGATGATTTTTAGTATTGGTCGTGGGGGTCGTTTTGGTCGTAAAGGTGTTGCTATCAATTTTGTTACATTAGCTGATCAACGTTTATTAAAAGATTTAGAAAACTTTTATAGTACAAAAATTATTGAATTACCAATGGATGTAGCTAATTTATTCTAAACAACTAAAAAGGTATATCTTCATAGTCTAATACCTACACACACACACACACACACTTGAATATCTATCTATCTATATATATAGTTGCGAACCTTCATTCATTCATTCGAAAAAAACAAGCTTTCTATTCTTCATTATGCACACACACACATATCTACATCGATTTTTTTGTATCAAAGAAAAAAGAATCTATCGAATAAGTATTTCTTCTCCTCCTACTTCACTCCTACTTCTTCTCCTCCTTCTTGTTCCTGTTCTTCTTCTTTTTCTTCTTCTCCCCCTTCTCCTTCTTCCTTCTTCTCCTTCCTTTCCCGTTCTTCTTCTTCTTCTTCTCCTCCTCCTCCTTCCTCTTCTTCTTCTCCTCCTTCGTCCTGTTCTTCTTCTTCTCCTGTATTTCAGTATCATCTGCACAAAGTAAAAGTAAACAAACAAGCAGACTAATCAATCAATATTAAATCATATATGTAATATGATTTCTAATCTTTATTCGACTTTGCTTCATTTATAAGGTTCTCGTTGTTGCTATGGTTATTGCTGTTGTTGTTGTTCTTGTCGTCGTCGATAATTCACTATTACTTTTTCTTCTTCTTTAATATCACTATTAATGATACTTGTTCATTGTTACTTTTAATGAATAGTATATCTAATGTATATGCCAATGATTGAATTCATGTTAAACAATGTTCAATTATTCTTTAGTCTCTGACTAGTCGTTCTTTCTTTCTCTTCTTTCATAGGATGAATCGTCGTCGTCTTCTCCTTCCTTCTTTTTCCTTCTTCTTCTTCTTCTTCTTCTTCTTCTTCTTCTTCTCTATTTCGGTTTCATATGATTGATAATCTTTATTCAACTATGATTTATTTATAAAGTTCTCTTTGTTGTTGTTGCTATGGTTATTGTTGTTGTTGTTGTTGTTGATGATAATTCACTATTACTTCTTCTTCGATAATAATAATAATACCTGTTCATTGTTACTTTTAATGAATAGTATATCTAATGTATATGCCTATTTGATTGAATTAATGTTAACCAATGTTCAATTATTCTTTAGTCTCTGACTAGTCCTTCTTTCTCTTTCTCTACTTTCATAAGATGAATCGTCGTCATGGTCTTCTTCTTCTTCCTGCTCTTCTTCTAATCGGTTAGTTGTGTATAGAAAATAGTTGCTTCATATTTCTATATTCTATTCTATCCAAAATGAATCTTATTTCTTTAGTAAGTAGTATATAACTTTATTATTAGAAAATTTTTCAATCTACCTAGTAATATAGATCAACAACTTTGGTTGTGATAAGTTACAACTGCTGTAAACAACATTCAAATGATATTTACCATTTGCTTACTGCCGATTTTCTCCTTTTTTTTTGTTTTCTTTTCTTTCGATTGTTGCTAAGAGCATCATTAGCCCCCCTTTCCTTATCTTACCTTAATAATATAATATTATATATGATTGTTATCTATCATTTAACTACATATTCTAATGTATGTTGAATGTAGTTCTTTGAAGAGAGAGCAAGAGAAAGCGTGTGTGTGTGTGTGGTGTTCTTCAGTTGTTCCTGCTAAAAGTGGATGGAGGGGGGAATATCATCCAAATGAAAGTGGAACTTTGTTTTTTTTTTGTAAATGTGATTATTCGTTCTATACATCTCTTTCTGTCCTTCTGACCTTCTATGATGGTCAATTATTTGGATCTCACTTTTTTTTCTCTTCTTCTTTTGTGTTGTTTGTCATTTTAAACCTGTATCATCATTGCTACTGATAATATTATTATTAATTCTCTTTAAAGAAAAAAGTGTTCTCTATTTTAATTGCGATGATTAATTCTGGCCAATAGTGATACGTCTTGCTGATTGAACGCATTTGACTCCGTTGATCGTGAAGTTCTATAACAGTGTTTGTCACTGAAAGGAGTACCAGAGAAGTATATAAACTTCATAAAGGCTCTCTACTCGAACACTACTGGTCGAGTTAGAGCCTATAGTGAACTGTCATCAGAATTGATTACCTTAAGTAGTGTTCGTCAGGGCTGTCCACTCTCTTTATTCTTTATTAACTTGCTTTTAAAGATAACACTTCCATCATCTCAATCTCCAGGAGTTGAACTTTTACCGGAGGACTCACTTGTTGACTTAGAATACGCCGACGACATAGTTTCATTTGGTGAAAACGCTGACAACATGCAGAGTCTTCTGACCACTATAAGCAACTATGCAGTCATGTTCGGGATGCGATTCTCCTCCTCGAAATGCAAAATGCAATTTCAAGATTGGGTTGCATCGACACCTGAACTAATGATAAAAGGTGAACGAGTTGAGCTTGTTGACAGCTTCACTTATCTTGGGAGTCTCATCAGCTCTTGTGGTCTGATATGTGACGAAATCTCAGCACAGATACAGAAGGCTCGTCTAGATTTCGCCAACTTGCGTCATTTATGGCGTAGGAGAGATATCCGTCTAGCAACAAAAGGACGGGTTTACTGTGCAGCAGTGCGTTCCATCCTACTTCATGGCAGTGAAACATGGCCAATAAGAGTAGAGGATATTCGTAGGCTACTAGTGTTCGATCATAGGTGTCTTCGACGCATTGTTCGTATATCCTGGAACCACCGGGTAAGTAATGACGTTGTTAGGAAACGGGTACTACGTAAGGACGGTAAATCGATTGATGAAGTAGTGAAACTTCATCAGTTGAGATGGCTGGGACACGTGTTACGTATGTCCAACCACCGACTGCCCCGACGTGCAATGCTTTATGATGTGAAAATAGTTTAGAAGAAAACTAGGAGCGGGCAAACTAAAACGTGGCAAAAATCCATAAAGTCACTGACAAGTGGACTGAGCCATGTTGGTAGGTGTATACTACCTGGTTGGGATTCACATGATGATAGCAATCGATGGTTAGAGACCTTGAATGACATGGCTCAAAATCGTTTTCAATGGCGAAGGTGCATCGACACCTTGTGTTCTCCCAAATTCTAATCTGAATTCTTCATGTCTTTATCTTTTTGTCTTTCCAAATTTATTTCACTGGATTATACTCCTTCAAACACTGATCTTTCCGATTACTACTTATACTCTTGCTACTTCTATCACTATGGTATTTGAATGGACAACTGCATCTCTATGCTAATGTGGTATGGCAACTCGAACTGATGTACGTACGTAAGAAGTTCTACACCTAACCAATAGAACCAATGGTATAATTCCAACTTCAATCATATCGCTATATGGTAAGACTATCATCCAAAGTTATCTGCGATAACTGTTCCATTTTTGACAAGTCTGAGCTGCAACAACTTCAACTGTGACTAAGTAATTAATTACTAATTTACTTGCTCGGCTTTCATTCCTTTTAATTATAATGGCTATCAGTATACTACCTGACTTCCCAAGTTAAAATAAGATGAAGTGGTATTCGGATATATAACAAAATGACTGGAGGTTGATGGCTATAACTACTGTAAGCCGTTGTTATAACGTACATATTTAAATGCTGGTCTGTGCGATAGATACAGTATGATCATACAGGTTTTTAAATACTCAATATACATCAAACGTATGACTTCTTTATGTGGTAGTCCAGGTTTTTGTTAGGTAATTCGCTTGCCTTATCTCAGTGTCAATTGTGCCCCCAAATGCCCTGGTACGGCCGAGAGTGGGAAGTCCTCTCTCTCGAAATGCTCTCACATAGCCAGATGTATAAAGCCACTGTCAGGGAAGTCCTACTCACTGCCTTCTCTTAAAAGGTGGTGTTGTTTACGAAATTGAGACGACGAAAAGCGAATGTCTGGCTCTTTAACCGGGTTGGTAGACACGGAAAATCGACATAGGGAAGTTGGAAAATCCTCATTCCAAACAAATGGTGCACATGGGCTGGCTCCAGTATCCTGAGGAAACAAATGGCATATGAATCAATTGTTGATCACCGGCTACCATGTTACTGCATATCCTTACGATGCTCCACTGCTTTGTGGACTAGACCTTCAGGTCAAAGGCTCCGGGTGTGGCCCCCTAAGCAAACCACCTGCTTCAATCTGGTCACCTGGACAGTATCACAGCCCTCACACAAATCAAATGAGATTTGTGCGGCGCATATCTATTTGGTTCTTCATTGTATCGATATTTATTTGTTTAAATAAAATAAAGTTTCAATTACTCAAAATGTTTATGGATATTCTCAGATTTCACTCTTCAACTGCGAATGCGTTTTCCGGTTCAAATTTTCTTAGCTCACTTCATCAGTAATCTTTCAGATAGTGTATTAGCTATATGAAATCGCAAGAGCCTGATATACGATCATCCTTCTATTGTATCTAACTTCATCGCTAAATATTTGATCCATTTGAAAAGAGGTATTCTAATCACCATACAAAGTCTTAAGTTTCGATAGAATACACAGCAATTCATTTCATTTACATACGGAATATCATTCTTTAAGTAGTACAAATGATTGACTGATTGATTGATTGATTAGTACTCATATGATGAGGTTGTATGTGCTTTAGATTCGAAAAAAAACTAACTCTGGAACCTTTTGATGATCATGTGTTTAGCGTATCTAGGTAGGGACAATATTAGTTTATCTATGAACAAGTCACATGAATTCGATTCTAATCTATTCGGTTTTTTTATTCTACACAAAAGTTATATCTTTTGGCATTAATTAGTAATTTCATAGTTGAAAACATGAGTCATTTGAAGCTAGACCACAAGGGAAAACCTGGAAGCACTGTTTGACGGCTATTTCGTCCTATTATAGGACTCCTCAGCAGTGCGCATCCACGATCCCGTACTTGCGAACGAGATTCGAACCCAGGACCTACCAGTCTCGCGCCAGAGCACTAGACCACTGAGCTGATCGGCATCCAACGGTGTTAATGTCTAACTTCAACTGATCCATGAAGTTGAGCAACCGTTCAACAATTGTCTTCAGTGAGTTGATATCTCACAGCAGACGTGGTTTTCCATGGTGATCTAGCTTCAATTGACTAATGCTTTCAACTATGAAAATACTAAATCTCCACAAAACCCCTTCTGATAATATTAATTAGTCTACTTGTTCTCATTAACATTATAATTTAGTAAATTGAAACTTCCAAACTATTGTGTTATGTTTGATCATTCTGAATTCAGTAACTTCTCAATTTTGGTCAATTTGGGCCATCTTTGGCGCCTTCGTGATGATAGTCTGGCTGTAAATGGTCGGATCTACAACGCGTCGATGAGAGCGGTTTTTCTTTATGCTTGTAAAACCTGGCCTCTCCGAGGTGAGGATGTTAGACGACTCTCTTTGTTCGATCATCGTTGTCTCCGAAGGATTGATGACATCCAATGGCAACACCATGTTAGTAATGTAGACGTTCAGCATCATGCATTCGGGAGCAGAGACAATAATCCAATTGGTGTCACCATCTTGAAACACCGACTTCGGTGGCTTGGACAAGTTCTATGAATGTCGTCCCAGAGAATTCCACAACGTGCATTATTCACCGACTCTGGAACTGATTGCAAAAGGCGGAGAGGTCGTCAATGTGTGACATGGTGTCGTGGTATGAAAGAAAGCTGTAAAGGGCTAGCTTTTGTTGGCCCTTCACGACTCCCTGGTTGGGATCCAAGATATGGTGCAATACAGTGGTTAGAAACGTTATTAGATATGGCTCACAATAAAAGCCAGTGGTGATCCTGCTGTAACCTTCTTTTACTTTCTTCACAAAGAGTGGTTATAACTTCCTTAACTGAAAGAGTTTTTCTTGTTGTACATTTCAGTTTCCCCCACCATTACTCTTTTTTTCATATATTCATCTTACCTCTTTCTCCTCCCATTCTCATTATTTTGTGTGGCGCATATGTATCTGGTGCCCTTTTCTACCAATATGAATGTGTTTAAATAAATAAAAATAAATTTTGTTGTGGTTTACATCACGAATCGGTATTAGACAAACCGAAACAATGAACAACTCTTTCGTCCTGGTATAACGCATCTCAGCTGTATGCATCCACGACCCTACCATTGCGTGGTGACTCAGCTATCTACAGGTCAGGCGCTCGAAGCAAGACCTAAAGATAATAGGTCCAATCCACAGTAGGGTTGAGGATTTACACTGTTGGGACATTCCTTACCAGAATGAAATAGTTACTCAGTACTTCCTTATTTTCATTGATTGTTTAACTAAGATCACTTCTTAATGTAAGTCATATATTCTCACAAACTCTTTCTACTTCTCTATCGCTTATTATGTTCATAGTACATATGAAACCCTACAAGAATAAACCAGTTATAGTTATAAGTGCAGAATGTGTTGCATAGAATTATATTCAGTTCAATTTGACACATTGATGAACAATACTTATTGGTTAACATGGGGATTTCATGGATGTTCTGATGAAATGCTTATCAAGTTTGTATTATTTCGTATACTTTTTTTAAAGATTAAGAAGCTTCATTCTCAAAATGCCCTGGTACAGCCGAGAGTTGGGAGAGATCATTCTCCCCCTCGAAATGCTTTCACATGGCCACATGCATACAAACCACTGACAGGGAAGCCCTACTCACTACCTTCTTGTGGCATTACTGTTGTTTACAAAATTGAGAGGACGAAAAGCGAATGTTCGGCGCTTTAATCGGGTTGATGGACACGGAAAGTTCGCCTAGGGGAGTTGGAAAACCCTGATTCTAAACCACTGGTGCACATGAGCTGCCTCCGGTATCATGAAGGAAAAAACAGTGTATGAATCAATGGTTGATCACCGGCTACCATGGGACTGCATCTCCTTACGATGCTCCACTGCCTTGCGGATCAGGCCTTTAGGTTAAAGGCTTCGAGTGTGGCCCCCTACGAAAACCACCTGTTTCCGTTTGTGCACTCGGGCAGTATCACATCCCTCACGCAAATCAATGATTTGAGCGGCGAATATATATCTGGTGCCCCTTTGTACCAGTATTTATGTTTTTAAATAGATCAATAAAAAATCTCAAAACATCTACATAGCATGATGCTTGAAGGTGGTGTTTGATGTTACGCTCCTTCAGTCATATTTGTAACTGCCTTTAGTCCGAAAGATCTCAGTTTACATTCTCATTCACCCTGTTTGATTATAGTTTAGTTTGTGTTCACCTAAAACATTCGAATTATCTGATAGATTCATATCGCATCAACAGATTTGCTTCTATGTATGTATGATCCATTTTGATGAGAATAAATAAATATGTAACTTTCCTTTGTAAATAAACAGCTTTAAGATGGTGGTTGGAGGTGGTCAACAGGAAACCTTGGACTCGAGTTTTCTGCTACTTGGAACACGTCAACAAGGTGTACCTGTAATCTTGATGAGACTGGTGCTCCCTGACGGATTCGATCATGTTTCACTAAGCTTCACAGTCAGAGACGTTACCGCTGAGCTATTCAGGCCGTGACCGACCTCCTGTATGACTGAGATGTAATCACAATTGATTGAAACCCGAGCCAGGGTTTCCTGTTGACCACCTCCAACCACCATCTCATCACAATATGGTGCATCCAGTGATCAATCAATTGTGATGTACAATTTTAGGACTTAATATAACAAGACTCCTTGGTGAAAAGTATCTTCGAAAATTTGAAGGACTTAGGGTCCTAGTTTAGAAACCAAGAAACACAACGATTGGCCTATCAGAGATTGTCAGTGATAAATTCATGTGATTAACGAAAGAATGGTTTTATTTTACAATGGAGGAGGTATAAGCTATTGAAAAGTCTATTTTTCCGAGGAAGAAGCAACTGTACGCTTGGTTGATGTAACGGGATTAACAGGCGAAATCGCATTCGGTTAGCCAACATACTTCCTTCCTCAATCCTTGCATTTCCTCTCGAATAGCCAGGCTTGTGTATAAGGAAGAATGTGTATCAGTATCAGCTCCCGAACACTAAAAATCACCCACGACCTATCCAATGATTGACTCCTGGACCTTTCAGTATTGCGGTAAGACAAATTTAAGGTTACTGAGCTGAGGACTTAAACAAAGTGTTAGTAGAGAATGCTAATTAGCTATTTCCTATCCAATCAGAGCTAGTCAATACTTGGAGAAGACTCTAGAACCTTCTCGTATAAAAACTTTAAATATACTAATGTTTTTCCTTATTGTGATTCTTACTTCTAACCAACCTTGTTTTTTGGAATATAATGACGTTCCTATTCAACCATGTTCTGATTTAGGGACTTGTCGACGGAAGTAGTGTCCAAGAATACTACGCAATCGTAGCTAGATCGTAATAAGAGAAATTACAACGTAACTTTGTGTAAAGTGATTGGTTGTTCTCACTTTCATTTGGCTCATTTTTTTCATATTTCCAATGTCAAGATTTTCCTCCACACTCCTTCCTGACCACTGCTTATGTTCTATAACATTAGAGATTACTTGTTAAAATGTTATGCATCAATCATCCTGTCTACGCAAATGCACACAGATCCCATTTACATCAAAAACAGTCTCGATAGTTCGTAACTAAAAATGATCAAAAGCTTGATTCTCTCAAGAACTTAACACTGATTTACTAGTCTTTCCCCGTACATCATCCAGATTTCTAAATTATCATTAAGCTAACAATAAATTTGTTTAACCCAGTCAGTCAGACACTACGTAGAATTTTGTACGTGCGTACGTACATCAGTCCGAGTTGCCATACCACATTAGCATAGAGATGCAGTTGTCGATTCAAATACCATAGTGGTAGAAGTAGCAAGAGTATAAGCAGTAATTGGAAAGATTAGGGTTTGAAGATGTTATTGAAGGAGTATAATCCAGTGAAATAAATTTGGAAAGAAAAAAAGATAAAGACATGAAGAATTCAGAAGATTAGAATTTGGGAGAACACAAGGTGTCGATGCACCTTCGCCATTGAAAACGATTTTGAGCCATGTCATTCAAGGTCTCTAATCATCGATCGCTATCATCATGTGAATCCCAATCAGGTAGTCTACACCTACCAACATGGTTCAGTTCGCTTGTCAGTGACTTCATGGATTTTTGCCACGTTTAAATGTGTTTAGTATTGTATTAATTCAACCAGACTGAGTGAAAGAATAATCATGTAGAAGTTTTAACTGTCCTCTTTTTTAAACAAAGATGGATGGCGAATAGCTGTGGGATTTAGGACGCACGTCTCATCCTACTTGAGGCTCGTCAGCTGGATATACCTGTATCCGAGAGTTGATGTCTGCTCTGAGACTCGAACCACAGTACCGTTCGCTTTAAACACCATCACGTTATCCACTTAACTACGGAGTTCTAGTCCTGGAGTAAACATTAACTCTTAGATCCAGGAACATCGAGCTGACGAGTCCCAAATAGGACGAAACGTACAACCTCGATTTCACTGCTAACCATTATCCATCTTTGATTAGAATGCTTGTAACTTAAGGCAATATCGAAGCAATCCGTATAGTATGCACATATTCCAATAAGAGATTGATCAATTGCAATCCTAAACAACAATGAGAAGGTTTAAGTAAACAAAGGCCAAGTGAATTGTCCTCTTTATTTATTTATTATACATATACATTCTGGTACAGCTATTGGGCAACGAAAACAATAAGCATCACATATCACAAACTTCGGGTAGAAGTGAAGTGTTGGAATTTGTACTGATGATATCGTTCAGAAGGATGATGAAAAGCTTCACGACCGAGTCATCCAACTCAGAGAACAAACTTACATCAAAATGTTAGATCTATTCAACATAGAGAAGTTATACAATGAAAAGCTTTTCTTTAAGAAAGTAGTATGTATTTGAGTAATAAATAAATGCTTTCATCATAAATGATTATGTAATCTTTTCAGATGTACCTGCATCTCAGAGTTGATGTTCACTCTAGGGACTCGAACCCAGTACCTTTCGCTTCAAACGCCATCGCGTTATCCACTCAGCTACTGAATCATAAATGATTACAATCTGTATTGTTTTACTGGCCTGAGATCTAATTCCAGTTGGATTGCATGTTGATCGCTTCTGATTGCTATTGAGATATACATATCAGCTATCGTTGTCGTATATAACTATTGAATTAACTGGCGTTAGTGAATAATGGAATGAAATAAGTCGTGAAAATATGAGAATGGATTTCGAATATGTATATTTTGTACAATCATTAATCCAGGAAGACGATTAAAGGAGCGGAGCGAAGAGAAACGAAATAATGCGCGTAGGAGGAGGCACATAATAACACATTACGTCGGGAAATAGAAGCAGATATGAAAAAGATGAATAACAACTGGAACGAACTGGAAAGGATTGACCAGGACAAGGTTGGATGGAGAATGCTGGTGAGCGGCCTATGCTCCTCCACGAGGGGTAACAGGAGGAGGCACATGAGCTAACTCCATTTAATCAAGCGTTAATCAATACTTATATTCACACAAAAATAAGCTACAGACATGCAGATAGTAGGATAAGATGCTGACACACATACGCTCGTATAAAAGCAGTCAAGGTTGATAACAAGGTCAAAATGTGATTCATGAAGAATGGTTAAATTGGCCTGTCCAGAGGTCAGAATAAGCTATGTGAGCTTAGCATAGTAACCGACAGTATACTCATATGTCTCATAAGGAGAAGAGATATAATCTTATTGATAAATTGAACCATGTACTAATGATGGATTTGGTCCATGAACAAATAAGGGATTCGGACCATGTGGAATGATACGTGAACTAAGTAATTTAGGATTTGGACCAATAGGTTGATATCGATGTGATTTTTCTGTTGAGGGAAGAATTAAACCCATGCTTCTATTCGAATATATAGATGATCCATTATTCTAAAAAAAAAGAAAAATATAATGAATAAAAATAAAAATTGACAGTCAGTCAGTCAGTCAGCTACAACGTAGGACCAGCCACATATATGCATCGGTCCAAGTTGCCATACCTTGTTAGCACAACAAGATGAACACCGGATTCATAGTAGTTAATTTAGTGTTGGTAGTAGTATATAAATTATAGGTTGTATATAAGGATATAGTACAGGAAGGAAGAGAGATATGAAGCAACTTTAGTCTCAAGGTTTAAGGGAAGATAAAGAGTGTATACACCTACGCCATTGTGATCGATTCTGAGCCATGTCACCTAGAGTCTCCAACCATTGGTTACGATAGTCACGCGGACCCCAACCAAGTAGTCTGAATCTGCCAACATAGCTTAGACTAGAAGTTAGTGATTTCATGCTCTGATGCCACGTTTTGGTTTGGCCACCCCTAACTCTTTTCCAACCATCACCAATACTAGTCAACATTGCGTGTCGTGGTAATCGGTGTTCAGGCATAATGTAACACGTGACCCAACCATCTCAGTCGATGAAGATTCATCACCTCATCAACTGATTTAACATCATTCCCTAATACCCTGCATCTAACCTCACTATTACTTATCCGGTGATCCCGGCAGATGCGAGCAAAATTTATAAGACATCTGTGGTCAAATACTAGTAAATTACGAGTATCTTCTAATCTTAATGGCCATGTTTCACAGCCGTAAAGTAGAACAGAGCGAACTGCTGCGCAGTATACTCGTCCCTTAATTGATAGACGGATATCTCGTCTTCGCCATAGGTTGGCAAAAGTTAAACGAGCTTTTTTTTAAAAAAAAAATTGACAGTAAATATGAATTTTATAACTCATATGAAGGATTGATCTTAGTTCGAAAACCATTAAAAACGAGGAAACATTGGACAATTGTTTCTGTGGTGTATGCTAGTGATGTCGACAGATATAAGTAGTATGTATCATCAATTGAAAGTGAAATGACTAGTGGCAGAAGGTTGAGAAGATCGAACAGAAGAGAACGAGAACAGAGAGTGATTGGTATGGAAAAGAAAGAACAATGAAGTATGAGACAATTAATTAACATTACGCAAACGAAGATTTAACTGTATGGTTCAAATACATTCGATCGTCACCATTTGCGTTCTCGTTCACTACAATTAGTGTCGCTGCCAATCAGGAGGAGTGGAAGGGTGCTGTTTTGTGGACACCGTTGCGGACCAGGAGCTGATGTGCTAGTTGAAGTGGTCAAGTGTGTGGAGGTGACGTCGAGTGGAGTGTTCTGGAGGGATGGCGTTGGATGCAGCGAGTGTTGTCAACGGAGAGAAGCAGTGAGACGTGCGGCTGCTGAGCGGACATCGGATGTACATAGCTGAGCAGGTTACTGGAGCGCAGGTGTTGAACGTCCCGGATGCTGGGTGTACGTTGGATTTTCATGGCCCTGAAGGTCGATGGAACTATGAAGGTCAATGCGCCTCAGACTCAATATTTTGAGGGAGAGTGTGGTACAGACTGCAGAAAAGAAGAAAGTGGCCGGGCGAGCAGAACTCAAGTAAACTACATAACTGCATATTTTGTATAAGAACTCTTGATAATTTATTCGATAAAGTCCTCTATACATGAAATAACCCTGAAAATAAAGATTTTTGCATACTTTTGTTTTTTAATCGAGGCTCAAGAGTGAAAGAGCTCTTCTTGAGTTATCCCTAGTCTATTAATTACTTCCTCCCACATCCACAGCCATATTTGGCTGAATCTTGTACAAATGTTACTTCCTATTTTATTGGTACGATGTGGTCAGTCTGTTTGGTATATAAATTCAGTACGTCTGAAATATAATCATTCATACCACAGAGGCTGTTATTGGTGTTCTGGACTTAACTGACTGGGTTAGGCAGAAGCAGGACTGACAAGTACTCTACACTGCTCGTACGGTTTCCATGTGTCACTGTTCCAATCAATAATTCGCTGCTCTCTTATTGGCGGTCTTACCACGTTGTACACTTACTGATTATCCACTCGGCCACAAGTTATAACAAGCACATTAACAAGACGAGATAAATAGAAGATACGTGGACATGATTGTATTAACAATCGCAGTAAAAACAATGAAATGATGAGAATATGGTTCAAGAAGACAAAACCAAAATTTGTGTACGGAGAGACACTGGAATACATTTGCACTATTGTGATCGATTCTAGTCCATGTCATCCAACAGCAGAAACAACTGGCTGCAAGATGTCTGTACCAACCAACAAGGCCCAAATCAATAGTCAATGACTTTATGGTTTGTGAAACATATCACAACGTTATTTTTAAACCAAAGTAGAAAAAGTTAATGTTCATATTCAACGTTTGATGGTTGAATAAATATTGGTACAAGGAAGCACCAGATACATATGTGTCACACAAATCTCATTCGATTAGTGTGAGGACTGTGATACTGTCCAGGTGCCAAAAGTGAAACAGGTGGTTTACTTAGGGGGCCACACCCCGAGCCTTTGACCTAAAGGTCTGATCCACAAGGCAATGGAGCATCATGAGGAGATGCAATCACATGGTAGCCGTTCACCAACGATTGATTCACACACCATTTGTTCCCTCAGGATACTAGAGCCCATATGCACCATTGGTTTGGAATCAGGGTTTTCCAACTCCCCTAGGTGGACTCGCAGTGTCCACCAACTCGGTTAAAGTGCCGGATATTCTCTTTTCGTCCTCTCAATTTCGTAAACAACACCCCCTTTTAAGAGAAGGCAGTGAGTAGGACTTGTGTGGCAGAAGCTATATACGCGTGGCCATGTGAGAGCATTTCGAGAAGTAGAGCGAACTCTCCCCACTCTCGGTCGTACCAGGGCATTTGGGGGCCACACCTACGATCTCTCTAGGGATCTCACTCAGAACTTTCAGGTTTTAGGGAAAACGCATAAACATTCAAATCGGAGTCCAATGGTACATCATCAACTACACAATGTCCATCCTTCATGTGTATTTTCCTGTATGGAAATGTATAAAATTATGAACTGACTAATAGATAATGATATGATAAACATTACATAACACTCACTAATGACTGCTTTTCAACAGATATTTCTGCAGTATTGACTTTTTGAAATGGATCGTTATCAGTGAGAATTACGGCAGCAGAAGTAGGAGTATCAAGGCGTTTTTCTAGCGATAACCTGTTGAAATTATTAAAGATTGAATAGAAGGAATATGAAAACAACACATGAAATTAGATAAAAACTATTTTTTAAAAAGAATGAAAAATGGTTTTCAGGAAAAACAAACAGTTTTTTTGCCAACTATCCCGACCGTTGCTGCTACCTTGAAGTGGTGGTTGGGCTTGCCTATCGTGATGAAGCAATTGAGCTATACTGGCTGGAAAAATCGTTCCTCAAGGTCCTACCATGCCAGACAGGTCGGTTGAAGAGCGGTAAGACTAAAGGCAGTAAACCCAAGGTCTGAAGGCGAAGTCTTACTGCTGACTGTACAGAGGTGTAACGTCAGTAAGGTGTTTCCTTCAGACAAACAGCATGACAGCGATGCTGCCTTCCCACAAGGAGGGGTGGGGTTAGAAAAGGTTGACCCTAAAAATGCACACCTCGCCTTATCTCACGGATATCCGTCTCCGGCGGTAAGGTCCTTTGAAGAACGGAGCTAACACAAAAACTACCCACAAAAAGGTCGTGTGTGACCGATCTCAAGCAGTTGTCCCTTGGCCACTGTGGTCACGCTCTCAGGTCATTAAGACTACTTCTAACCCAATTTCCTTTTCAGGTACCTCTAGAAGAACCCTTCCACGGGCAACGAAAGCAAAAGAGATGGAAAAGGCAGCGGCTGTAGGCAACACCAGGCAACTATTCAGACTAATAAAAGAAACCAGAATTAAGAAGTCAAATGTAAGTGAGACAATCTCGGAAAAAGACGGAACCCTTATCTGCTCTCAACCTAAACGTTTAGAACGATGGGCGGAACACTTTAAGGAGCAGTTTAGCCGGCCTTCGGCTACTGCACAACTACCCACTATTCCTAGAAAACCTGAATGAAACATTGAAGTAGGCCCCCCGACACTACTTGAAGTTCAAAAGGCTATAGGTAATCTGAAACGAGGAAGAGCAGCTGGTCCTGATGGATTGGCCCCAGAGGTCTTTAAATATGGTGGTCCAATTTTAGCGACTAGGTTGACTAATATTCTGGCTAAAATCTGGGAGACGGATGTAATCCCATCCGACTGGTCACAATCACTGATTGTCCCAATATATGAAAAGGGGTCAAAATCATCCTGCGATAACCATAGAGGGATTAGTCTGACTAACATAGCATCTAAAATACTAGCCTCAATAATTATCGGGCGCCTAACTAAGACTCGTGAACTGCAAACACGAGAAAATCAGGCTGGCTTCAGACCTGGTCGTGGCTGTATCGACCACATATTCACCATTCGTCAAGTTTTAGAACACAGACACGCTTATCGGCGTCTGACAATGATAGTTTTTCTTGACTTGAAAGTAGCATTTGACTCTGTAGACCGAGAGGTTCTGTGGCAGTGCCTGTCATTGAAAGGTGTACCTGAGAAGTACATAAACCTTTTGAAGGCTCTTTACTCGAACACTACCAGTCGAGTGAGAGCTTATGGCGAACTGTCATATGATTTTACAACCTCAAGTGGTGTCCGTCAAGGCTGTCCACTATCCCCGTTTTTGTTTAACTTTATTATAGACCTGTTGCTGGAAATAACACTCTCGTCGACTGAATTTTCAGGAATTGATCTCCTACCAGGGGGACCACTAAGCGACTTAGAATACGCAGATAACATAGTCCTGTTTGGTGAAGACGCTGGCAAAATGCAGAGTCTTCTGTTGGAACTCAGTAATAATGCCAGGATGTTTGGGATGCGTTTCTCCCCATCCAAATGTAAATTGTTACTCCAGGACTGGCCTGCGTCAACACCCGAACTAAGGATAGGGAGTGAAGTAGTCGAACGCGTCGACAACTTCACTTATCTTGGAAGTCTGATCAGCCCTAATGGGTTGGTGTCAGACGAAATCTCAGCACGGATTCAAAAAGCTCGTTTGGCTTTTGCCAACTTACGTCACCTATGGCGTAGACGAGATATCCGTCTATCAATTAAGGGACGAGTATACTGCGCAGCAGTTCGCTCTCTTCTACTTTACGGCTGTGAAACATGGTCATTAAGAGTAGAAGATACTCGTAGGTTACTAGTATTTGACCACAGATGCCTTAGAAATATTGCTCGCATCTGCTGGGATAACCGGGTAAGTAATAGTGAGGTTAGATGCAGGGTATTAGGGAACGATGGTAAATCAGTTGATGAGGTCATGAATCTTCATCGACTGAGATGGTTGGGTCACGTGTTACATTATGCCTGAACACCGATTACCACGACGCGCTATGATGACTAGTGTAGGGGATTGTTGGAAGAGAGTTAGGGGTGGCCAAACCAAAACATGGCATCAGTGTTTGAAGTCACTAACTTCTAGCCTGAGCCATGTTGGCAGATGCAGACTACCTGGTTGGGGTCCGCGTGACTATCGTAACCAATGGTTGGAGACTCTAGGTGACATGGCTCAGAATCGATCACAATGGCGTAGGTGTATACACTCTTTATCTTCCCTTAAACCTTGAGACTAAAGTTGCTTCATATCTCTCTTCCTTCCTGTACTATATCCTTATATACAACCTATAATTTATATACTACTACCAACACTAAATTAACTACTATGAATCCGGTGTTCATCTTGTTGTGCTAACAAGGTATGGCAACTTGGACCGATGCATATATGTGCCTGGTCCTACGTTGTAGCTGACTGACTGACTGACTGATCAGCTTCACTGATAGAAATCAGTTAATACTAAAGAATAAATAAATATGACATATTTTACTACTCAGTGGTTGATTAATGCAAAGGCTCAGTGATCTATCGTTTAAGTGCTCAATCATGAGACTGGTAGGTCCTGGGTTCGAATCTCGCTCGCGAGGCCGGATCGTGGATGAGCACTGCTCAGGAGTCCCATAATAGGATGAAATGGCCGTCCAGTGCTTCCAGGTTTTCTATGGTGGTCTAGATTCAATTAACTCATGATTTCAACTATAAAAATACTGAAATCTCCACAAAACCTCTTCTGATCTATAATTCTAATTAGTTTGACTAAAATTAAAAATAAATCCGCCTGTAGCTCCTTCGGGGGCTACTGTTGGTCCCAAGCCCGGGTAAAGGAGGAGGGTTGGGCATGGGGTTAGCGACCCTATCCTGTAGAAAAATAACTCGCTAAAAAATCGCTAATCAGAGGTCGGCAGCCTATGTTCCATTGGGAGTAACAGGCGTAAGTAAGTAATTAAGTAAAATTAAAAATAATTTATTGAAACATTCTCGTGGGGGGAAGATGGTGTCAGTTACTTACTTAGTTTGAAGTGTTTCTTTATCAATTTGTATTGATTTTGACGGATTCTCCTTTCTAGATGATTCTTTAGCGAAAACATCATCATCATTAACATCATGATCATCATTATCTGTTGATGTTTTTGGTGATAATGAATCATATTTGAGTTTTTTATTTGTTTTTGATGAAATATAAATTGATGAATGATGTGATTCATTATCATTTTGTGAACAAACACTTGATTTTGATTCACGATTACGATGAGTTGAAGTAGTTCTTCCTTTGGAATTAGTATCTTTACGTGATGAATATTCTCCGCTTGGTTCAATTCGACTACGATGTGTTTTTGTAGTGGGAACATCTTTATTGCGATCATCTAAAATCAGGATAATAAAATGACGTACAATGAATACATATTCAAATTGACTGTTAAAATAGTGATATTAAGTTTGAAAAGTGATTATTGCTATAGACTGATATTAAGAAAAACAGTGAAAATCACGATGCGCTGAATACCTGAATAGGATAATAACAATAACAATTAGTTGTAGCGAATTCGGGGGGTCACTATGTCAAAAGACGTTTTTCCTTGTGCTAAAAGTTAGTATTTTCAAGAAACAGGCACGGTAGAACCTACAGAAACATATGTTTCTGCCAATATGGCTCGGTTCGGTCATCATGATAAGCAAGCCTGACCACCACCCCAAGGTAGCAGCTACGGTCGGGAAATTATTTTGTATACTGGTAAATTTACATGTAGCCAATAGTTCACTAGGACTGGGTAGTGAGTGGTTAATTATACATAAATAAGTATTTTATCCTCCTCCCAACTTTGAAAAAAAAATGCCGGCATAAGCTATAGCGAACATGTAAGCATTAACAAATAGCTAAAAAGATGGCACTTACCGCATGGTTTAGGGTTAACAGATTTTGGATTTTTATGTGACCTATGGGTAAAATAATTTTAAAAACGTTAAATGGACTGAATTCCTAGAGAAATACATGTATGCATACATATAACTCGTTTACAAATAACAGTTGTTAGCGGGACATAGAGTGGATTAAAGATTGTGTTGGGGAACGCTAATTAGCTATTTACTACCCAATCAGAGCTAGTTAATACTTGGAGAAGACTCTAGAACCTTCTCGTATAAAAACTATAAACGTTTTTCTTGTAGTGATTCTCACTCCCATCCAACCATATTTTTTGGAATGTAATTACGTTCCTGTCTACTCGTGTTCTGATTCAGGGACTTGTCGACTGAAGATATGTCCAAGAATACTAGGCTGGTTTTTAATAATAGATATCATAACAGGTTAATATAGACGACATAGAATTGCAATTTTTAAAGGTGCTAATGATTATCTCCCAGCTACTAAGGTGGAGTTAGAACCCGCTTGAATATCTGGGCTACCTGTTCCTGCCATTTAGATATTTCAACAAGTTATCTAATTTTGTTTGTTTTAATACATCAATGTGGCTATTAATCGCATAAACTATTCTGTTCAGGTGCGTTTCTGAAAAGTTTACAACCTTCTGTTGTACAAGTTATTAAAGGCCCAATCACAGATATCGTGGTTACTGACAGTATGCAGAGAAAAGAATGTACATTATTTAGATGTCGATTGACTGAACTGCTAACTTTTAACTGGCGATCACTCAATATTTGTCACCAGGATCTATCAAAAAGTAAGAAACGGAAACTTGTTGAAATATATTGTGCTGAGAATTCTATATTGTACCAAAAATATAATGCTGAATAATTTATTTATTCATTTGAACACACAAGTATTCGTACAAGGAAGCACCAGATACATATGCGCCTCACAAATCTCATTTCATTTGTGTGAGGGCTGTGATACTGCTTAGGTGCCCAGACTGAAGCAGGTGGTTTTCTTAGGGGGCCACACCCGAAGCCTTTGACCTAAAGGTCTAATCCACAAGGCAGTGGAACATCGTAAGGAGATGGACTCCCATGGTAGCCGGTGGCCAATGATTGATTCATACGCCATTTGTTCCCTTAGGATACTGAAGCCCATGTACACTATTGGTTTGTAATCAGGGCTTTCCAACTCCCCTAGGTGGACACTCCACATCCACCAACCTGGTTAAAGCACCGGACATTCTCTTTTTGTCCTCTCAACTTCGTAAACAACACCCCCGCCACGAGAAGGCAGTGAGTAGGACTTGTGTGGCAGAGGATATGAGAGCATTTGAAGAGGGAGAGCGGACTCTCTCCACTCTCGGCCGTACCGGGCATTTGGGTGCGATTTCTTGAACTGAAGTAGCTGGAGTGGGTTCGAACCCGCAAATTAGTGGCCAAAAAGTGAATTCAACTATTTAGCTACCACTCAACAGCAAACTGTAACATCAACAGGACAAATTACACTTGAGTAGATAAATATTCATAACAATTATCTTCCTTTATATAAAGGTGCTACGATAAATTATATTTAAAATTACACTCAAAAATGCTTTTGAAATACCAAGAAAATAGTCGATACGACTTAAGAAAACATTCCAAAATATAAAAGAGTAATTAAATTAATTACTTAGGAGAAATTTCAGGTATATCAAAAAATTCACCAATTAAATCTTGTCGATCACCAAAACCCATTCGATAAGTATTCTAAAGTACACTTATAATAATGAAATCATACTAAACGGTCTAATTGTTGAGCAGAATAATATGCAGGTCGTGGATCATCCCAACTAGTAGTCTTTTCTTCATGATTAATATAAAACCTAGATAAAAAATGGTTATCGATAAGAAATATTACATAATATACAACAAACCAAAGGCCGGACTCTGAGTCCAATCGAGACTCCCAGTTAGGAGGTAACGGCTTGTCTGAATAATCAGATGACATTATTTATTCTAAGGAAATACTATTCAATCTGAAAGTTAAATATGAGAAAAACTTGTCGTTTTGAAAAGATATCAAATTATTTTATGTATCTTTTTAACTGTAACAGCCCTACTATAAAAGTAAGTAAATAAGTTCACGAAGTAACTGAGTACAACCCACACTAAATAAAAAGATTGATGGCACTAGTAGGTTGCCCAAACCAAGGTGGGTGGATGGGAGTTCAAAATTTAGATTTAGTGGCCAAAAGTTAAACGTCTTAACCACTAATCCAGTCCTTTACCATAGTCCTGGTAAGGAGGTAGTCTGTGAAATCTCGCCAATAAACGAAGTTAGCAGATAATTTAGGGTGTTTTGAGTCATGCTGACACTAATTTGCCTACCACGAACAAAAAATAGTAAAGCGAAACGTCGTGTTTCACTCTTTCGGAGTATACTAAGGCTGACAAAAGACAAATAATGGCAAATGTGTAGTTTTTTGGGGCACTAGTATGTTTTAAGAAATAGTACCCTGATGTCAGTCCACTATACGAGTTATCCTGTAAATGATGAAGCTACAAAATTGAAGAGTGAAATGAACAGGTGTTTTATAAATGGCTGATAGGAGCATAGATCAAAATGCTAAACTGACAATAGTAGGAATCGTAAGTGGCATAATTGGCGAGACTAAAATTTATGGACGGACCAATCAAAAGCATATGAGGGATTTCAAAGTCACGGTGCCAATTTCAGTACCTGATGCTCATGTACGGTCAATTCACAGAGGAATTTAGAGACGTGAGAATTAAGCGGTTACAATAAATGGGACTACTAAGAAGTCCTTCTGTTTAATTGCGGTAATCAAATGACTACCGTGATCTTGTCCTTCAATGTAATATATTTTGGAGGAAGACGTCTGCAAGAATAGGAATTTTTCGCTCGATCCAGATTGAAACTAAGGCAAATTATAATAATTGCCGCCAACCGTATAATAAAAGCACCAGTAACATTGACTGCAATATCCGCAGATGTTACTGAAGCTTAAGCTGTTCAGTGGTATGAGTATTGTAGGGATATATGGGTAATAAAAATGACAATCTTACACAGCCAGAATACACACAGATAATATTGAACCCATGTGGTTGAGCCTGAGAGTTTTTGCGACCTTATGATGGCTCCGGAGACCGACTATCATGGAGCCATATGGATGAGTTCCTCTACCGTTGGCATTACGTTATAACCTTTCAACCTCTTTCTAACCTTGACAAGTTTTGGAACACGTAAAAGAAGTTTACCCACTTCAATTCTTTGGTTTTGTATAATATATTTTCACTCTACTGACTATTTACTGATTGTCTAATATTTCTCAAGGTTAATTAGGATTCGTGCACAAAGGTCGTCCACAAATTATAGTCTTGTCATTGTCTGGAAGAGAGAAGTACAAGATAAAAAGTGAACTGACGACTCAGTAATTACACAAAATGCACTTACATTTATTAGGGAAATCAATGTACAACAATCGGAAATAACACGAGCTTGAGATAATAAAAAGTTTGATAGTCGGAACAAAAATTTGATAGTGTAGGGTTTAAAACGTGTTACACAGAGATATTTAGAATACTCACAGCAAATAGTCGGAGATAAACTAATCGACTGAGATATGTGACCTTGACGTAGCAACTTATAGAAACTCCCATCCAGTTTCTTCAGTGTTCAGTCTTCAGTAGGTTGATGAACCTGTGTTAATCCTGACAGATATCCTTCCAGTGAAGGTCCAGCTTCTTTTTGAAAATGTTCAATGATGGTGCTGATACCACTTGTTCTGGTAAAGCGTTCCAGTCACTGACCACTCGATGAGAAAAACGGGACCTCACCTTTAGTTTATTAGTTCGCGGTTTCAGAACCTTCTTGCTATGACCCCGGAGATTATTAGTGCTGGAGGGAGCAAAAAAATAAGACATATTAACACCCAGATCATAATTAAAGATACGAAATGCCAGTATAAGGTCACCTCGCGTCCTACGATAAGATAAGGGGAAAAGGTTTAGACGTTTTAAACGCTCATCGTAAGGGAGTTTAGAAAGACCCTTTACTAATTTTATCCCTACACGCTGGACACGCTCAAGCGATTTAGTATCCTTTATCAGACAAGGGCTAGCTGCTTGGATACAGTATTCTAAGCGTGGCCTTACATAGGTGGGATATAAAATTCGAAACATATCCTCGTCAAAGCATTTAAATGCTCTGCGAAGAGACCATAGCGCGCGATAGCCTTTGGAAGCAACCGCATTGCAGTGTGTAGTAGTTTTCAAGTCGTGACTTATAATTGCTCCTAAGTCTTTGTGCTCATGAACGCGTGGCAGAGATGCACCATTAATGGTATAATGGTAACTAATACCGTGCCCGATGTGCATGAACACGCTCTTCCTGGAATTAACTTCCAGGCCCCAATCATGAGCCCACCTAACTAATTCGTCTAAATCTGCTTGCAGATAACAACGATCAGTCTCATTTCTTATTGTTCTCCAGATTTTAACATCATCCGCAAACAATAACGTCGACGACTTAAGTAATAAAGGTAGTTCATTTATATACAGAAGGAAAAGTAAAGGACCTAAGATGGTGCCTTGGGGTACACCACTTTTGACCGGTTTCCATTCGGATAGAGTTCCATTGACCCTCACTCTCTGTCTGCGGTCGCATAAGAAGCTTCCTATCCATTCCTGTATAGCACCTGTTATACCAAAGCTCGAGAGCTTTTGCATAAGACCTAAGTGTGAAACCTTATCAAACGCTTTGCTAAAATCTATGAATATCACGTCAACAGACTGGCCGTTGTCTAGGGCAGCTGTCCAATCCTCTCTCGCAATGAGTAAGTTAGTCAAGCATGAATGCTTGTTACGAAACCCATGTTGCTCGTCAGTTAACAGATTGTACGAATCTATGTGGCTCAGTAGCTTAGCCCGAGTTAATTTTTCAAGTAACTTAACTACTATACTGGTCAGGCTAACAGGCCGGTAGTTAGATACGATCCGTCTCTGACTATCCTTAAATATAGGATTAACTATGGCGTCTTTCCAGTCTCTAGGTAGTTGAGCCTGTGAAAGGGACATGATAAAGAGCATCGTGAGCGGTCTTGATATAATGTCCGCAAGCGACGACAGCAAACGTGGGTGTAACCCATCGGGGCCCGGTATCTTACACGGTTTTATGTTAGTTATCAAAGGAAGAACAATATCCTCTGTCACGTGCAAAGGTCCTATGGCTGGTATTTCATTGTCAACGGGACAAGTAGTTGTAACACTACACGTAGAGTAGACTTCACTGAAATAGTTTGCAAATGTCTCCACTTTCGCTAGATCAGATTCAGCCAATAAAGCTGAATTTTCGCTTAACAGTAATGAGGGGATACCATCACTACGTTTCGTCCGCCTTTTAACGTACGAAAACAGTCGCTTCGGACAGGTACGGCTATCGTATGCCAACTGTCGTTCGTAAGCCGTGCGGGATTTAGCTATGGTCTTTTTACATATATTCCGGATTTTTTTATATTCGCACTTAAATGATGCCTGACCTGTTGACAAGAATAAGTCCCAGAAGTGTTTCCTACGCTTCAACAGCTTCCGGGTTTTCTTATTAATCCATGGGGGGCAATATAATAGCTTACGTGCTGACCATGGGATAAACGGTTGAGTTACGGATTCGAACGTAGACTTGAACCTATTCCATGCATCATCAATCGATCCATCAGCATCGACCGATCAGCCAATTGAGATAGCGTAGTCTCTGATTGCCGGAATATTAGCTCTCCAGATATTAGGACGGGGTGGAGCAGATGCAAATTCCATACCATGTATCCGGAACTTAAAGGAAAGTACGACATGGTCACTATTCACCAGTGGGGAAGGTGTTGAATGTCGGCGATATCTTCACAGTGGTGTGTGAGGACAAGGTCTATCAATGACGGATTATGTTCAAAGTCTATATGCGTCGGCTTAACGATACATTGTACAAGTACACATTGAATAATTGATGACAGAAGGACGCTATCGAAACCCCCGCCTGGAGCTGTGAGTTCTATCCAGTTTATATGGGGTGCATCGAAGTCTCCAACGATGAGACAACATTCTGCTTTACTCCAAGAACAGACGTGTTTTAGGATAAAGTCGTCAGCCAGACAACACGGACTACGATACATTCCTCCTATCGTCACTAACCCGTTTCTAGACCTAATTGTACAACATACTACCTCACACGTACCACTTACATGCGCCTCCGATATGATCGAGTTAATGTGGAAGTGGTCCCTAATATAAAATATTATGCCTCCTCCCTTGCGACTTCTAACTCTATCACTTCTGATACAGATGTAGTCTGAAATGACTGGAGAACAGTCTATATCTACAGTGAGTCAAGTTTCGGTGATAACAATTATATCCGGATTTAAGTCGTCTACCATCAAACTTAGTTCAGACATCTTATTCCGAAGACTACGAGCATTCGTATAACACACATTTAGGGTGTTTTGGAGACATGCGTTCTACCCACACAGGTCTCGGAAGCATTGGCTTCCAACACCTGACTACCCGAAAACCCTTAATCGTAAGGTTCGCTTCACCGTTTGGCTTTTGAGTTTTTAACTCTGTTAGGGCATTCTTCCACTTAATCCGATCCTCAAGTGGCCAGTCAGGTCGAATACGAATGTTTGAGTCACGAGTTTTGCGTGCGTTATTTAGTAATACGTCCCTTTCCTCAAAATTACCGAGTACTAATTTGAGGATCCTTCTCTGTTGGGTTTCGCCTCCAACATACTTACCAAGTCTGATGACTTTCGAGATATGTACCCCTGGGACATCCTCTGGCAGTGTAAGTGAACATCCAATATTTTTCGAATGTCATTACATAAATTAGCCTTACTCAGTTTCTTTTTGTCTCAGTACAGATCTTACGTTCTAATTGATGCTTGTCTTGTCACTTGTTTGAACAAGTTCTAGTCTGTTTGATAGTCATTCGTATATCTCTGTATTTCATAATTTGAGTAATTGTATAATTCTCAGTACAGTAAGGTTACTGAAGCCAGTAAATACCACATCACCAGATAAGAGATTTGTTAGTTGCACTGTGAAAAAACAACATGGAGGAATTCAGAATTTTAAAAAATGATTGTTAATAAAACGTTAAAGAAGACAGCAATACTAGGTAGAAAAGTAAGAATAGAAAAGAAAGTGGTATCAAAATCCTAATGATATGTGTTAAAGGTAATGGTAAGCGAGATGACCACTTCTAACCCAATTTCCTTTTCAGGTACCTCTAGAAAAACCCTTCCACGGTGTGGGCAACCGGGAAGTGATAACTGCCCTCATACCTCTAACAACACTCAAGACCACTGTATTCATAATCAATCTCCTTATTCAATTCCTTCTACCTTGACTTTCAACACTAAACTTCCTCTCTCGGTTTCCTCCTCAAGTGTCACCATGGCCAACGATTCTAGTGCGCGAAACGCTGTCTCAGGTCTACTAAAACCTCGCTCCAAACTACACATTGGAGCCTTCAACGTACGTACCCTATGCCAAATCGGTCAACAGGCCTCCTTAGCTAAAACTTTAGAATCTCGTACCATTGATGTATGCTGTGTCTCCGAAACACGCATACAGGATCCCAGTGTGGTCATTCACTTGACCTCACCTCGCCAAAATGGACAGCCAACGAAATACACCCTCCGTGTATCTGGCGACCCGTTGGCTAGTTCTCGCGGACTTGCAGGTGTAGGCATAGCACTAAGTACAAGGGCAGAACAGGCACTACTAGAATGGATCCCCGTTAACAGTCGCCTGTGTGCTGTCCGGCTAAATGGCTCCGTAAGAACTCGGAAGGATAGGGACACACGTCGTTGCCTTTTCGTCGTTTCTGCCTACGCTCCCACTGACTGCAGCCATGATGAAGTAAAAGATGACTTTTACAGAAAGCTCTCTGAGCTTCTTCAGAAAGCTAAGCGCTCAGACATAGTAGTCGTAGCGGGTGACTTTAATGCCCAGGTAGGCAGCTTAAATCAAACAGAAAGACATTTAGGTGGGTGTTTTAGTATTCCGGCTCAACGAACCGATAATGGTGATCGTCTGTTGCAACTATGCTGAGACAATCGTCTATTTCTAGCAAAAACTAATTTTAAGCATAAGGAGAGACATGGTCTAACATGGCGACCACCTGCACCAAACCAACGATGGACTCAAATAGACCATATTGCCATCAGTCATCGTTGGAGAGGCTCAATAGAAGATTGTCGCTCGTATTGGAATAGTTGTTTAGACTCTGATCACGCTTTAATACGAGCGCGCATTTGTCTGCGCCTCAATGGACGCAGGAAAAGTACACTAAGAAGACCCATTAGGATTGAACTGGAGGACGAGAAAGCCAAATGCGAATTCCAGAAACAACTGAGTTCACATCTAGGCAGTTCTGTAAACAAGACTGACCCAGATGCTGCTTGGACAGACATACGAACAGCTGTGGAAACAGCAGTAACATCTATTAGTCATTTAAACCATAGGGCTCCAAAAAACCAGTGGATTTCCTCTAAGTCTATTTCACTGATGGATTCGCGTAAACTCATCCCATCAGGCTCTGAACATGACGAAGAGCGTAAACAAATTAGATCTAGATTAACTAAAAGTCTAAGGAACGATCGTGAGCAG